GACTTAAGAAGAATAAAGTCTTAATCTATAAGACGAGATCTAGAATAGAAAATATTATAATTAAAGCTAAATTCTTAAGAAAGATCGTTAAAAAGCTAAAAATTAAGAATTTAAGTAATAAAATAATAATTAAGAAGAAATTAATTTACTAATTATTTATCTTTAAGAATTTAAATTTAGAGTTAAAAGTTAAAGAAGTAGATATTTATAATAATTATATATATATAAAGAAGAAGATTAATTTATTAAAAAATACTCTTTTAAGAATATAAGAAAAGCTAATAACACTTTTAACGGCGATAAAAAGAATTTATAAAATAATTATTTTACTTTTAACTTAGTATAAGAGCGTAATAAAACTTATTAAAGATATTATAAAACTTTTATCTTTTCTAAATTAAGATAATAAATAAATTAAAAATAAAAAGATTAATATTAAGAGTATTAAAAAATATTAAAATATTAATAAGTTATTATTAAATAAGATTCTCGATATCTTAAATAATATATAAGAAATCTTCGCTAAAGAATATCTAGATCTAATAATCTTTATATTCATTTATAATAATAATAGAAAACTTTCTATAGAATTCGAAGAGTAGAAGAAAGAATTTTTTATTTCTAAGGCTATAACTAAGAAGAGCGTTTAAATACGAGATTCGATAATTCGACTAGGCCTTATCGCGATACTTTTACGTCTCTTAAGAAAAGTATATACCTTTCTTTCTAGTTCGGTTTCTTTTACGTCTAAATCTTTATATCTACTCTTTTCTCTTATTTTATAAAGAGTAAAACTCGTATATCTTTTTTTCTATACTTTCACATCTAAATCTTTATAAGATATCTTAATTTCGTTTAAGAAGAAACACCTTCTTTTCTATCTTATATATCTTTATATCTAAATCTTTATAATATAAAAAAAAGCCCGAGAATAATATAGCTTTTTACGAGAAAGGGTAATTATTATATTTTTAGTATAGCGTAAGAAATCTAACTAGCGTGACTTAGCGTATCGCTTTCTTTTTTTAATTTCGTTTATAGCTTTAGCTTAATCAATTAATCAATCACAATTAAAATTAAGAAATATCTTTCGCTTCTTCGTGAAACTCCTTTCTAGAAGTATATATATACTTCTTATATAGTAACCCTAATATAGACTTTATAAATTAAATTCATAATATATTTTTTTTAATTAGAGCTATCGAGTAAGCTTTAAAAAGCGATATTTAAATTCTTTATCTTTAAATATTAATAAGACTAAATTTAAATATTCTTTTTTATTTAAAAGTCTAATTTACGTTCTATAATTAAAAAAAAATCTAAAATTTTAATAGAAAATAAAAAAGTTATTCTAAAATTAAATAATATATATCTATTTTTTACTTAGATCTATCGACTGTCGAGTAAATTTAGCGAGCGAACTTTAATAAGCGATATTTGAATTCTATGCCTTTGAAAAATTATAAGATTAAATTTTATAATTTTTTTATTATTAAAAAGCGTAAGTTACGAACTATAATTTAAAAAAAAGATTTAAAATTTTAATAGCAAATTATAAAGTTATTAAAGAATTAAAAGTAGAGTAAAAGATTTTAATAATTATAAACGCTAATTTATTTATTTATAATAACTTAGTCGATTTAATTAAAAAGCGTAATAACTTTAAATTTATAATTAACTATATATATGAATTTAAGATTTTATAATTTAATTCTATCTTATTCTATTATATATATTAATACTTTAATTCTAAAAAGCTTTTTATAAGAAAGAGATATATAAATCTTCTACTAGCTATTAATAATAAATAATCTTTAATCTCTTAAAATTGATATATATAAAAGAATAAGATAGAGCTAAGCTATAAAATCTTAAATTTATATATATAGTTAATTATAAATTCGTTAGATCTACGCTCTTTAATTAAACGAATTAAATTATCGCGAATAATTAAATTAATATCTATAATTATTAAAAAATCTCTTACTCTACTTTTAATTCCTTAATAACTTTACTATTTTCTATTAAAATCTTTATATTCTTTTTTAAATTATAGCCCGAAGCTTACGCTTTTTAATACTAAAAAAATTATAAAATTTAGTTTTATAATTTTTTAAAGATATAAGATTTAAATATCGCTTATTAAAGTTTACTCGATAGCTTTAATTAAAAAATAGATATATATTAATATATATAATAGAATAAGATAGAGCTAAATTATAAAATCTTAAATTTATATATATAATTAATTATAAATTTAAAGTTACTACGCTCTTTAATTAGATTAACTAAGTTATTATAAATAAATAAATTAGCGTTTATAATTATTAAAATCTCTTATTCTACTTTTAATTATTTAATAACTTTATTATTTTCTATTAAAATTTTAAGATTTTTTTTTAAATTATAAAGCGTAGATTACGCTTTTAAATGCTTTAAAAAATCTAAAATTTAATCTTATAATTATTAAAAGGCAAGGCACTCAAATATCGTTTATCAAAAATCGCTTATTAAAGATCGCTTATTAAAGATCGCTTATTAAATTTACTCGATAGCCCTAATTAAAAAAATGATTATAAATTTAATTTATATATCTTTACTCGCTATTTAATTAATATATATAAAAGAATAAGATAGAGTTAAGCTTAAAAATCTTAAATATATATATATAGCTAATTATAAATTTAAGATTATTACGTCTTTTAACTAGATCGACTAAATTATTATAAGTAAATAAATTAGCGTTCGTAATTATTAAAATCTCTTACTCTATTTTTAACTCTTTAATAATTTTACTATCTTCTATTAAAATTTTAAGATTATTATTTTATATTATAGAGCGAAGATTACGCTTTTTAATAACGTAAAAACTTTAAAATTTAATCTTATAATTATTAAAGAATAAGGATCTTAAATATCGCTTATTAAAGTTCGCTCGATAGCTCTAATTAAAAAATAGATATATATTATTTAATTTTAGAATAATATTTTTATTTTCTATTAGAATTTTTTAATTCTTTTTTTAAATTATAGAATATAATATAGGCTTTTAAATAAAAAAAGAATTATTAAATTTAAATCTATAAATATTTAAAGATAAAGAATTTAAATATCGCTTATTAAAGTTCGTTTATTAAATTTACTCGATAGTCTTAATTAAAAAAAATAGATTATAAATTTAATTTATAAATCTAAACTCGTTTTAGAATAATATTTTTATTTTCTATTAAATATTTTTAACTCTTTTTTTAAATTATAGAATATAATATAAATTTTTAAATAAAAAAAGAATATTTAAGTTTAGTTTTATAAATATTTAAAGATAAAGAATTTAAATATCGCTATTTAAAGTTCGCTCGATAGTCTTAATTAAAAAATAGATATATATTATTTAATTAATATATATAAAAGAATAAGATAGAGCTAAGCTTAAAAATTTTAAAATATATATATATAGTTAATTATAAATTTAAGATTATTACGTCTTTTAACTAGATCGACTAAATTATCGTAAATAAATAAATTAGCGTTTATAACTATTAAAATCTCTTACTCTACTTTTAATCCTTTAATAACTTTAGTCTTTACTATTTTCTATTAATTTTTTTTTTTTTTTAAATTATAGAGCGAAGATTACGCTTTTTAGTAAGATAAAAACTTTAAAATTTAATCTTATAATTATTAAAGGATAAGAATCTCAAATATCGTTTATTAAGGTTCGCTTATTAAAGTTCGCTCGATAGCTCTAATTAAAAAATAGATATATATTATTTAATTTTAGAATAAGTTTTTTATTTTCTATTAAATTTTTTAAATTTTTTATTAAAATTATAGAATATAATATGAGCTTTTAGATAAAAAAATAATTACTAAATTTAGTATTATAGATATTTAAAGATAAGGAATTCAGATATCGCTTACTAAAGATCGCTTACTAAAAATTTACTCAACAGCCCTAATTAAAAAAATTGGTTATGAATTTAATTCATAGACCTTTACTCGTTTTAGAATAATATTTTAATTTTCTATTAGTATTAGTATATATAAAAGAATAAGATAGAGCTAAGCTTAAAAACCTTGAATTTGTATATGCAGCCAATTATTAATTCGAATTCGCTACGCTCTTTGATTAGACCGGCTAACTTATCGCGAGTAAATAAATTAGCGTCCGCAATTATCAAAATCTCGCCCTCCTACGCCTCCCTTATCAAAAAAATAGGTGCATATTATTAACATATAGAATTACTTTTTTGTTTTCTATTAAAATTTTGAGATTTTTTTTTTAAATTTTGATACGTTATTTATGCTTTCCGAATTTTTAAGAACTTTGAAATTTAGTTTTATAATTGTTAAAGCGCAAGGAATTCAAATATTGCTCACCAAAGTTCGCTCGACAGTCAGACAGCCCTAATTAGATACACATTATTTGATTTTAGAATAACTTTTTTATTTTCTATTAAAATTTTAAAATTTCTTTATTTAAATTATAGAACGAAATATGGGCTTTTAGATAAAAAAAGAATTGTTAGATTTAGTTCTATAATTATTAAAGTGTAAGGAATTCAAATATCGCTCACCAAAGTTCGCTCATCAAAGATCGCTTACCTACTTACTCGATAGCCCTAATCAAAAAAAAAATTATGAATTTAATTCATAGGCCTTTACTCGTTAAAATATAATAAAATAGATTTAATATGGCAATAAAAAAAAAAAAGTAAAAAACGGTTGGTCATTATCGAACACCGTACCGGAGCTGTTTTGGCCCCCGTGCCCCCACGGCAGCCTCAACTGCCAAAAACCCCGCTAAATTCAGCCCTGAATATCTGCCCCGCCTGCCAATGAGCATCCCTGGAGAAAGATCTTACTCGTTCCTTCAATTCCTGTTACGCACTGCTATCAATACACATGAAATAAATCTCGTACCTCAGATCGATTACATTGCCTTACATTCTCATCAGATCAGCTAGTTCTAAAGTCCCTGCTCAACACCAGGTAATAACATGCCTGACGCATGGGACGATGACTGGATAGCCAAAGGCGATTCGTCACCTTCTAAGACTGAGCCTGCCCCAATTAGCACAAAGACATCCAAAGCAGAACGACGGGCGAAGCAGGCCGAATTCAACCGTCAGCTATGGGAAGATGCTGAAGACCCGCAAGACAACTTCTTCCTCAAGTCTCGGGACATCGTACCACTCAAATCGGAGTTCAGACCTGCTATGAAGGTGCTGAGCAGGAAGCCGGAGAAGAGCTCAGCAACTAATGTGGAGGGAATTGGTCAGCTGAATATCGATGACGACGATGAGAGCGAAGATGAAAATAAGAAGCATCATTTGACTGCTGAGGAACGGCGGGAGAAAGCTCAAAGGGAGAGGGAAGAGAAGCAGAAGAAGTATGAAGAAGTGAGGCAGAAGCTGTTTGGCAACGATCAGTCCTCGTGTGCCACTGCTGCATCTGGTCCAAGGAATAACACCTCGAAAAACAGCTCCCCCTCCCGGAACCAAAGCAGGAATAAGACTAGCAGAGACAGTCGACCTTCGTCATCTGCGAGCAACCAGACTGGGCGGTTGTATGATCCTAATGATACAGGCAAACCAGGGGTGTCCTCAGTTCTACGGAAAGAGACGAAAGCAGAGCCAAATGAGTTACAGCCTATCAGATCTCCACGAGCCCCTGATAATAGTGGCAGAGGGGGTTTTGGATTCGCTCCTCGAGGCGGCAAGCCTGCTTGAATGGCTTCTATATACGATTGGCATGTTTTGGCCGCCTTTAGATTGCCGCATACCGGCAATCCTAGGATCTACAAACACAATAACAAGGAAAATGGTCCATACGGGGGCTAATTCTTAAGAGCGAGGGAAGAAGAAGCAAGCTTCGGAACAGGTGTGGCCACTGCTGAGTAACTCGAAAATAATACAAAGTGCCTCCCAAGCAGGCCCAATGCTTGGCTCTTGCACAATTCGGTACGATGAAGTCAACCGAGACAGGTGTCACGAATCAATTATGCAAGCCATGTGTGTCAAATTTTTGGCAGGTATGCAATGCTCTTCGGGATGCACGGTCACTCGTTTCGTTCCTAGCGAAGTCATCTCACGTCAAATTAGCTGGAATGGAGGGGGCCATCACAAGCGCGACTGAGAACTTATAAAGAGCCAGATCCAATTCTGTGTGTGACCCACAGGCGAACATTCCATTTTTTCCTTTACTCTCATTGAAGGCTGCACATCGACAGACTGACATTCAGCCTACATACACAAGTGTCACCGCTATATCAATATCAAAAGCCACAATGATGCGTCTATTCACCCTCGTCTCCCTCGCTGCAACTGCTCTCACCGCCTCCGCCAACCCTGCTCTCTTCCCACCACTACTCCCTTCGTTCTTTCCTGCCGGACCTACAGTGGGCTCCATCATCTCCACTGCCCTTGCCGCGGCTCCGATCCCCTCAGCAGTCGCCCCCGTCGTCGCTTCCGCCGTTGCAGCTGTCCCAGCTACCCCCAACAATGCCAGTGCTGACTCGATCCCCGGCCTCGACATCCCGCCCACTGAGCTCTTTGACAACATCTTGGCCGCCATCGCCATCCTCGATGTTGTCTTGACTCTGCTCAACTCGTCCGGATTGGCGGATACCCAAAGTGTAAAGATTCGCGATCTTGACCTTCCGACTTCGGGATTGACGGATTTGTTGGAGGTTCAGGGGAGTCTTGGGTATACCATCACGACTGTGACGGATTTGGCCGTTCCTCTTCTTAGCACTAGCGTTGACTAGGATTGCATCTTTTCACGGAGTGGATCGGGGGAAGCATGTTCTCTGATTTGCGGGGGTCCACTCCATCTTATGGCTTTCAAAAGTTCTCCTTGTTCGCTTCTCCAGACAGAGCATATGATGGATTGCCAGGTCTGGCCGAGTCGAGGGTGGTCCTGGCGGCTGGCCTAAGTTTAGTACTGATTTGGGAGAAGGGGCAAGGGATATGTGTGGCTTATTCCATGTTTTTGTGCTGCTTGTCGACCTGTTGGTAGCCGAAACAATCATACCACTCGTTGAGTCCCACAAGTCTCCGTCTTAGTAGATTCCTTGTAGTCAATTCCTCTTCCAATGTCAGTAATTTCTCTGCAGGAACGATCCTGCAATATGCTGGCTATCTTGCGGACGTGACATCCAACCTGAGCTCCGCGCCGAAGCTACCGATGTAATTGCAGAAATGCCTCCGGAATCAGCACCGTTGTTTGACCAACTTGTAGCTGTACGAGAACAATAGTTGGTGGTAATTCTACGGATTTGGACCCGGATGTGGTGACCCAGCCCATTCACTCTCCGTAAAGACGAGGCCAAACACCGGTAATGCACGCTTGCTGAATCTCAGAGTCCTCGTGTCCAACGGTGTCATCGTCGTGCTACCAGCCTCCTCCAATCTTCCCCGCCAGTTCCACCACTCTCTCATTCTCCGCTCCTCCAACCTTCCCGACGTCACTCTCCACCTTCCGATAGCTTGTCGTAACCAGCTTCCGCAGATCAATACCGGTCGTCTGCGCCCAGTGCTCCAGCACCTCCCTGACACGCGTCGTGTCGATACCATTGATCCTGTTTTTTCCCTCCACTTTCCCCGCTTCTTCGTTGTCGTTGTCGTTGTCGTCAGTATTCATAGCGTCGTCAATCTCATTCTCGGATTCACTCTCAGACATCGAGTAGTATGCTTCGTCGACTCTAGCCAACCACTCCTTCTGGCTCATGGCTGTTTCGGGCTTGATAGGCACATCATCAACTTTGATCTGCCCGCCTCCGTTCGTGCAACCACCTGGACACGCCATCACCTCCACATATGCATAATCCATTCCTGCTCCTCCGGCAGCAGATGCAGCTCTTGCACTAACCCGTCCGCCTGGTAGTCTGCTTTTCTTCTGAGGCTTGAGCTTCCGTACCAGATTTTGTATGTTTCGGAAGCCATAGTAGCGCGCTGCCTTGAAGATGGGCTGTTCTTGATTGGGAGAGGTAATGGCGTACTCGACGACGTCGGCATTACGGCCGCGGGTGGTTTTCAGGGAGCTAGAAGGATTGAGACTGAGTTGGGCTTGGAGGATATGATGGAGATAGCCTCCTGAGGTGCCGGCTTCGGAAGCCTGCTTTCGGTGGTATTTCGGGAAGAGGAAGGACGAGAGCATGGGATCGGGGAAGGCGGGTCGGGAGATGGGGGTGCGAGGTAAAGCAGGGAAACTGATCCCACGAGTATCGGCCAGCATCAAGACTTCGCGAGCCGTAATAACGCAGTCGACGTCGCGGACTGGTTGGGCCAAAGCAGTGGTGGATGGAGGCCGCCAATAGATGTCGGTGAGCTCTTCACGAGAAGCTTCGAGCTTTTTGTCAAAACACGGCATTATTGAGACGTGCCATATCTGGTCGGGGCGTATATTGAGACATTGTGAAAGGACGGTCTTGAGGAGGGTGCCGGTGAGAGCTTGAGGGGATCTTAAACATGATAGGTGTGGGAGGACGTGTGGGTGGGTCTTTTCCGCGTAGCATATCCAGCCTGGACAGGCCGAGCTGAGTATAGGCTTCTTAGGTGTTGCCGTTGAGGCGCTGTCGTCGTTGGAAGCCGCTTGTAGGCCAGGTGTTTGCAGGGACTCCATCACCTCGTCTGCTCCCAAGACCAAACTTGCTTCTCGCATAGCATTCGTGTCAACAATCCAGGTGAAGCCATTGCCATATTTCCCCCCTGCCGCTAGTCCTTGTGGGCCACCCAACAGCTGATCGATCATCCATCCAGCTTCTGCCTCCGAGACACCGTAAGTAGCGGCCACACTCGCTCGCACCTGTGGGCTAACGCTGGCAACAAAGAGTCTCCCTTCCTGTTGATTTGGTCCATATTCACTGCCAGTTGTAGAAAAATCGATGGAGTGTTGTGAATCTAGTGCGTTGAGTACTTCTGAATGAGATTGGAGCGATACCAGCACAGCTTCTGCAGAGGTAACGCATCCCGAGCAGGCTAGACAGTCTGTTAAGGAGATTTGAGCAGGCGGAGCACTTTGCTTTTGGAGCTTGTCTTCCGTTGTTACTTCGTAAGCCTATGACCCACTCATTAACAGGAGACAATGGAAATACTGAAGGTGGGCGGGCATACATTGATCTCTTCAGGTGCTTGTTTCGGTAGTGTCTCAACAGGTTTGATACATGCTACACCTGGTGAGATGAAATCATTAAGATCGTCAGCAGACAGGATTGCAGACATGTTGCTGTCGCTTTGACAGAGAAAGAGACGATGTTAATGCAGACTTTGAGGAGCAAATATATTTGCAATCACGCGCATGATCCACACCGAAGTTCAACCGGGGGGGTGGCAAAAATTTCGTCACAGTTTTACCCGCTGTCAGAAACCCTAAGCCCTTACTCCACACAATCGTACATTCCCAGTTGCTATTCCAAGGGCAACACCCACAAATTCTGTATCTATGCTTGATTTGAAAAGCTGCGAGGTAGAAGATGTTAAGATATAGCTCCCAAAGATGGAGTTGAAAAATCGTCCCCGAGAATGCAATGCAATTTTGCGAACACACCCACCGGTAGCTGGAAATTGGAAAATGACATTACACAACCTCTAATAGCTTTCGAAGCGTGGATACAATGGTCTCCTGAACATCGAGTGAATCGTCGAACTCCTCATCTGCTGAGCTGCTGGGATTGGGCTCTGCATTTAAGCAATCCATCACGAGCTTGCTGTAAACCTTACCCATTTGGAATTCAAGATCAGCCCTAATGCTGCAGCTTCCTCGCTCTTCCAACAGTCTCTGTTTCTCTTTGACCATTGAGTAATACTCCGTGGCATCCTTAGCCGCCAGTATGGCTAAAGAAGACGCCGCAGGTGAGGTAGTGTCTTTCTCATCCGATTGACTTCTTAATTGTTGCAGCAAGATCGTCGGCAAAGGCAACCAGAATGCCAATTCAAGCAGGACGCAGCCAAGGCTGTACAAGTCGAACTTCTTGTTAAAGGAAGCCCTCCCGTGGCCCAGCGATCTAGGATGCCGATACAACTCCGAATGCGGCTGTGACGAGGGGGCCTCCATAGTTTCGAGTGGATTGTCTGCTCTTGCGTACTCGTAGCCGCCAAGATAAGCTGATGACAGGTCGTCCTTACTGTTCCATTGCTCCGTGCCAGATTTAAAGATCAGGATATTGTCTGCTCGTATGCCTTTGTGCAGCCAGCCGGCTGTGTGGAGCTGAAGGACCGTTTCCGCCAACACAATGGCAATGCCTAAGCGGCTGTTGAGGCTCGGACGTTGAGAGGCTAGGTACAGGAGTTCCTTTAACGACCACATGGAAAAGGCGGTACCCAAAGCTTTTGGAGGACTAAACAAATAAGCGTACCGGCCTGACTTGGGTGCTTTGAGGAAGCCAAAACACGTCAGAGAGTGGAAGGCGGGGTTTGTCATTTCTGTTAGAAACGCTGCGACTTTCTTGATGCGATATTTCAGTTTGGACTCGACAGCACTTGCCACATCCTTCCATTCGACGATGACGGTATTCCCATCATATTGTGCAACTTCTCGAGACACTGTCGCGGAGACGTGGCCCTGACAGAGCAGAAGCAGATCGGAGCTATGCTGCAAGTCCTTAGCCCCTTTCAGCAGCGAGCTTCTATGATGTGTGGTGGACATCATCGTTGTCGATCTAGCACGTTGAGAAATACCAGATGGCCCACAGCTCGGCAATCCAATCAACTCCAGTAGGAGTCCTTTGTGTCTTAGTCTGGCAGCCGCAGCAACAGCCCCATCAACCATGTCCAGGGGTCCGCTCATGGCATCCAGCAATGCTCTGTCTGGGCTCTGAGCCACAATCGATCGCAGCACTGTATTTCCATCATTATAATTTGATTCCTGGTCTAATGGGTGGAGCACACTTAGAAGCTGTTCGTTGAAGTAGCGAATGTCCTTCAGGAGTACCCTGAGTCTGTCCGAGTCGATCGCGCCCCACTTGACCTTTTTCCAAGCATTGTTCCGTCTTGCGTACACTTTCGCGGTGTCATTGATGAATTGGGGTTTTGTCTTCTTTAAGAAAAATCCAAAGCGACGGTTCGGAGTTTGTAACTCTCTGATCTCTTCCTCTGTGACGGTGATATCCAGCCCATAGTTCTCCTTGAGTTCCGCTGCGTTGGTCAGGAGCTGTTCAAGATTCGCAAGGGTTTTGTGAACGAGCATGGGATTGGAGACATTCAATTCCGGTGGATCTTTAAATAAACCCACGGTTCTCGCCCATTTGTGGAGGCAGTAGTGCTCCCATTCTAGCTGACATGCAAGCACATCGCCTCTACTTCCAAGCTCCTGAGCAGTAGAAAGTAGCACAAATCCTTTGATGCACCCATCGAACAATTGGAAGCTCAAGGATATGAAGCTGGCGATAGAAGCAGCTTCTCCAATGCCGGCCATATGAGTCCCGGTGTCCTAGCGCCACTAAGATCTTGTTTAGGATTCGCGTATTTCTGTCCTACTCGAGTATCTTCGTAGGCTGTTTATTAGCTTTGCAAACCATCATCAAACCGACTGGAGGTAGTCATACCACTGTATCGGCATGGGGCAGTGGAAGTCGTCAAAAGCAGACCTCGAGTTTTACTCCGCCTTGTTAAGTATCATGAGGCTGTGGGGGTTCTCCGCCCCTCTTTTCGCATGTTAATCAGGCGGCTGTCATCCACTCACATTGCACTAGTATGCAGCCCGCTATGCTCGCACATCCCGGCTCAGAAGGAATACGCGGGTGCGCTAGGCTGACAGTTGCATTTTTTCTCGCTACCCACCTCTTCATGAATTGGTCATCCTCTGCAGCTCTTTCAAAACTTTTCCCATCGTCTCATGGATTCTGCACACGCCTCGCCTATCGAGCGGGCGAAGCGCCATCAAGACCCGCAAATTTTGATTATACGTATCAGCCGAACGAGGCTACAGACGCTTCCGTCAAACCCCTACCGCAGTCAGTTTTCAACGAGATCTCAACGAGATTAGAGGCGGAAGTGCAGAAGAGAGAATGGACCAATCGGCCAAGAACCTGGTTCATTCTGAACCAAATCAAACGCCTTGATGCTATGGAAGCGTTCATCAATCAAGGTCTCAATGATACCTCTCTACCATACAAGGGTCGAAACTCACTGCCGGAAACTCTCAATTTCTTTGAAGCCAATGACTTCTTGAAATGGCAAGATTTAGTAATCAGCGACGTACTGTCTTTGGAACAAGGCAAGCACGTTTGGATTCCGAATGGAGATGTGCTTTTCGAAAGCAGCCGGCCGAGGTTAGGTGTTGGTAGCCAAGGGTGAGAGAACCTTTCCAAGACTGTCCTACTTTTGGGTTGCACCTTCCAGATTTTCATGCTTCTTGCACAGAGTGATCTGGGCAATGCTTTCCGATTTCCTCTGCTGGGTTCGATATTTTCCCTATTTTGTGGACGGCACTAACCACGGCAACAGTTCCTCAGTCGTGGACCAAGTGGTCAGCAAAGCGACCGGAAAAGTGTACGCTCGAAAACGCATCAATCGTGCGAAGCTTTTTGGTCACGACACACAAGCGCAGAAGACATATGAAAATGAAATCAAAGTTCTCTCCAAAGTTGCTGAGAATGATCATCTCATTAAAGTGAGGGGGACATATACCGACAAGAAGTATCTAGTCATGCTCTTGGAGCCTGTGGCCGATGGAAACCTAAAACAGTACATGAATAAAGGACCGTTGACTTCCACGGTAGAGCAGAGCAGGTTCCGGACGTATTTTGGTTGTCTGGCTCACACGATTCTGTTCCTGCATGATTCATCCATCCAAACACTGCACAAAGACATCAAACCGGAGAACATATTGATTAAGGATGGTCATCTCATCTTGACAGACTTTGGGACAGCTTTTGATTGGTCGAAGACAGGTCAAAGTATGACCCGGAGCAATTTGGGGATCACCGAACACCGCGATATCAGAGTCCGGAAGTTGCTACTTCAAGCGAATTTCACCGCTCATCAGACATTTGGTCATTGGGTGTCGTCTTCCTTGAGATGGTTACCGTACTTCGAGGGAAATGCATCCTTGAAATGGATACCTTCCTACAAAACAACGGACATCGGCACACCGAGATTCATCTAAATCTGGAGGCTGCAATGAGTTGGTTTGAACAACTCCAAGCATATGGAAGAGGCTCACTGATCGACAACGAACCTTTGTCATGGACCAAACGTATGCTCAACCGAACACAGTCCAGCAGGCCCACTGCTGCAGCAGTATACCAGGAAATCGCCGCGTTCCATGACGGTATGTACTGCGGACGCTGTTGTTTGGATGACGAGTCAAGTTCAAGTGCGGATGAAGACTCTTATACTGACGTCGACATGCTCTCTGATATTATGGAGCATGATGAACCCGCTTTCAGTCATCCTTGGATGGAAGGACAGGACACACCAGAAAGCCGGAACCTGCCAATGGTCAGGGACACCTCAAGTTCTCAGGCTGCTCAAGGAGATAGCTCAACAATTCCTTCCATTGGAAATGACAATGTTCATCTCATCACTGGCTCAGGAGTAGATGTGGTAGCTCCACTACCTTCCGAGAAAAAGCTTCATTCTCAAGGTAAACCTCGATCTCATTCCACTCGCCTGTTGCCTCGAAGAAAAGGATCAGAAAGCCAAGACGTCACGGGGACTTCCAATTCGACGTTGGGAGTGCCTAGCACCGCAAAGGTCACGGCAAAGACAGGATCGAAACCTTTTTTTGAAAAAGAGACTTTCGTGAGATGGCTGGCTTCGCTACCAGATAAATTTAAAGCTCCTTTGCCAGAGGATCGTCGGGCAAAGCATGCAAACCTATCTAGTCGACCTAAAACACGCCATCCAACCGTGGAATCACAACGAATTGGACATTTTTTGTCGTCTCTGCCACCAGAACTTTCAGGGTACGAAAGTGCTTCTGAAGCACATTCGGAGCGGATTATCGAGAGTTTAGATCGCTCAAAACGAAGCCAAAATTTCCCGACAATTGACCAGCAATACATTAAGCGCTCATACAGCCAAGAAGAGCTTCCCACTCCCTCCCGTCTTCTCGCGGAGGAGACTGACAACGACCAATTCTCAGGTGTCAACAGGTCAAGACTCGTCCATTATGCTAGCGACGGAGCTTTGAACATTGCTCTGGCAATGTCTGAACAAACTTTGGGAGAAGCTACTAAGGATTTGAAGGCATTCGCTGCTACGACTTCAATTCCGAAGTCCAATGGCCCCGCAAAAACCACTCTAAAGAAACCCAAAAAGTGCCCGAAAACGGATTCGAAAGGCTCCGTTGTTGACCTCAAGACCGTGCATGACCTAGGTCCTGAGCACCTCAATCGAAAAGCTGAAGCCCAAGATCTAGTTGTCGTGTCAATTGGGTCCAACTCTTCGAAACCGCCTGAGCCTCCACGTCTCGGGGCTTATCTAAAAAGTGTTCCCAAGAAACGTAGACAACATTGGGAATCTGTGACAGTCAGGATGGAGAGAATACTTGACGACAAGATCTCCGAAGCACCAACCTCGGTCATGTCAGTCAACACTCGTGCCAAAATCTCGCAAGGTCGACCTGTCCTGCGCTGGAACGATAGATACTACGGGTGGCTTCCTTCTCTCGTTGCAACCGGGAAGGTTGGTGCAGTCAAGGAGATGTTGAGCGCTGGCTGTAATCCCGGAACAGCAGAGAAGCCACGCTGGGCACCAATATACAACGCGATTAGAGGAGCAACTGATAGGCATACTAAGTGTCTTCGAGCACTTGTTTCGTACGGCGTCAATGTCAATGCTGTCAGAACAACGAATGGTAGAAGACCCCTCCACTACGCAATCGAAAAAGTGCCGTGGTCAGGCTACTCCTCCGTAATTTACATCCTGCTTGTTGCAAAGGCAGACCCAAATGCGAGGGATAATGCTAATGACGTGCCTCTCCTCATGCTACTTGCAGGCGATGGCCCACTACCACAAGAAAAGCGTGATGCGCTTTATCTCTTGCTGGCGCCAAACTTCGCCACCAATCTGAATGTGTCTATCCCTGGGACTTTAGACAATCCATTGCACTTAGCCATACGCCGCAAAGATGCCTATACCGTGGATGTGATACTAGAGAAGATGAAGCAGGTCCGTGGAGACGCTTTAAGCCTAATGCACAAGCATAACGGTAGTGGTTTCACGCCTCTCCTGTTGGCCTTCACCACCTTCACCTTGCTAGGAGAAGAAGCAGATGAGGAGTTGCAGATAGTCAGATTGCTCTTAGAGCACGGCGCCAACCCCGACGATCGGGATGTTGCTCACGGTGAGACGCCACTACATCTCATTGTCGGTGCCAGCAAGAATTCCATCGCTCTTGAAGTGCTCTGCAAACATTCTGCGAATGCTACACTGCCCAACAATGCCGGTCAGTCGGCGATAGATGTGGCTCGCAAGCTTCGAATGGAGCATCGAAATGATAAATGGTATTTATTTGCGACGCGTCGGATGGGCAACAACCTGAAGGACGAACACTATCGGCCACCAGAACTCGTGGCTTTCCTGGACGAGGAGGCGGGCCTCGATGCAAAAGACAAGGATGACAACCATAGGGTTGATGGTAAAAAGGTCGATGATAGTTTCGGTCCAAAAGGATCATCACCGAAGAGGACAACAGGCAAGAAGGCAGATGAAGTTCCGGCTCAAAAGGAGAGTGGTGCTAGAGATCTGCCAAGTATTCCCCTTCAGGGTAGATAATGGGGCGGTCTCTCGACAGAGTCCGCGTCAAGCGATAGAACGATCAAGTCCTCTTTGAATATAAGATGCCCTTAGGATCGTTTGACTTGTACTGTTGAGCCGCTGCTTGTTGGTTCTTTTCTGCTCCTCTGCGTTCATTGTATTTACCGTCCTGGCCAGACTCCCAATAGTCCGCCCCCAATTTCCGGACTACTAGTTGAACTAGTTCAGGCCTAAACCGTCTGATATTTAGACGGACTATTAAGGGACTGGTCCAGATATCTAGACGGACTAGTTCAACTATTAATCTAATTTACTTTTTTGAAGTAAAACTTTTTCTCTCTAGGCCGACGGTCTCGCGTAATTATACTTTTATATTAAAAAAATTAGATTATATCGAGTATTACGTTATACGTATACGTCGCGATATAATCGCGATATAGTTAAGTTATAATAAATCTATTCTACTATTAATAAATATTATAAAAGAATAAAATATCTATATAAAATAGAAGAGAATTTTATTAATATAAGTTAAATAATAGTATTAATAATTACCTTCGTTTTTTATATTAATAAAAATTTAAAATATAATATAAAGAAAAGAGTTATTTACGTAGCGCGAAAAAAATAAATCTTTTTTATCTATAAAAGAAATTCGCTTTTTATACTTTACGAGTAAAGGCCTATAAATTAAATTTATAATTATTTTTTTAATTAAGGCTATCGAGTAAATAGATAAGCGATCTTTAGTAAGCGAACTTTAATAAGCGATATTTGAATTCCTTACGCTTTAATGATTATAAGACTAAATTTAAGAATTCTTTTTTTATCTAAAAGCCTATATTTTATTCTATAATTTAAAAAAGAAAACTCAAAATTTTAATAGAAAATAAAAAAGTTATTCTAAAATCAAATAATGTATACCTGTGAGCGAACTTTAATAAGCGATATTTTGAATTCCTTACGCTTTAATAATTATAAGACTTAATATAAGAATTCTTTTTTTTTCTAAAAGCCCACATTTCGTTCTATAATTTAAAAAAAAATCTTAAAATTTTAATAGAAAATAAAAAAGTTATTCTGAAATTAAATAATATGTATCTATTTTTTAATTAGGGCTATTCGGCTATTCTATTTTTTTAATAATTGCGAACGCTAATTTATTTATTCGCGATAATTTAATTAGTTTAATTAAAGAGCGTAGTAACTCTAAATTTATAATTAACTATATATATAAATTTAAGATTTTTAAGCTTAGCTCTATCTTATTCTTTTATATATATTAATATAGAAAATAAAAGTTATTTATTAAGATTATCGATTTAAATCTAAGAAGAAATTATTCTTACTTAATAAATTTAGATATAAAAATATTTAAAGAATCTTCTTAATTATAGATCTATTATAAGCGTATTCTTAATATATTACTTAGCTCTATAATCTAGTATCTTAACGAAGATATCTTATATAATATTATATTTTCTTTCTATATATATAATTCGATAGTCTTATTATTCTTATTCTATCTTACTTATATTAATATTATATCTATACTAGTTTTAATATTATAATAAAACTTCTTTATATACTCGACGAAGAGAAATATAATTAAATATACTTTATTCGAATTAGCGAACGAATTTAAAGAAATACGTTAATATAGACTTTATTAAGACGTCTTAAATAGATAAGATATCGTATCTCTAGATAAGCTTATTATACGAGTAACTCGATTTTAAAGAGCTTAATAAGATAGCGAAATAATCTCGCTAAAATAGTAGATAAGAAATAAATAAGATATTAAGATTATTTATACGACTAGCGAATTAATAGTAGAAAGAAATCGTTATAAATCTTATATATTATAATAAGTCTACTATAATAGCGACGAAAATAGATTTAATAATACGATTACGATTTAATCTCTTTATTAAATATATCGATAATATATATAATAAGTTTACTATAATAATAGTAAACGTATAATCTCTTTATTAAGTATATCGATAATATATATAAAATAGTTAAAGTAGTTTTTAAATATCGAATAAGATATATAAATTTAACTTAGAGATTTCTTATAAAGATATTTTAAAATCGTAATATTAATATATTTTACTTCTTTTACTTTAATATCTTAATAGAGATCTTACTTAATAGTATATATATTCTTTTTTTATTCGAGTCTTATACTTTTTAATAGCTATCTTTAACGTATTATTTTTCTTTAAAATTAATTTAAGCTTTAATTCTTTAAATATAATAATCTCGAAGATTAGATTAGCTTTTACTAGATCGAATTAATTATATAAACTAATTATTTTATAATTTATCTATCGCTCGAAAATTAAACTCTTCTTTATCTAAGTATAAATAAAGAATTTATCTATAAGAGACTTTTTTATATAGTTATACTTCTTCTACTTATACTATAGTAACTATCGCTATAATTATAGCTCTTTATAAGCTCGACGAAGTATTAAATCTAATTAAGCGAGGTTTTTTTTAAGTTAAGTAACCTAAACGATTAATTGCTATATCGTGCGATCATCACTTTATAGCCTTCTATTAAGATGCTGATGCTGATCCTATAGATAGCTAATACCGCGCACTAGTGCCGACAAGGACTGTCTCTCCTGCTCAAACAAGCTTGACTGTCTGCGGCGTCAATTGCTCAAGCTGACTATCGTCAAACTCCCAACAATGGTCATAAAGCGGCCCTTCACCCCTGCGCTTCCTCACACTTGGGTTGTTGTGTTCAGATTGGCCGTCCATCTCGTCAGCGAGCCCGTGATCCCATCCCTGCTCATCAGATTGTGGTCCCAGAGCGTCCTTAAAAGATTTCCATACTTCTTGCTGGTTCGAGACATCCGGTTTGACCTTGTACCTCAAAGCAATCGCAGCATATCCCGAGACGGAGATGGTTCCCTTTCGTCGGAACGTGTTGGGCTCAGTGCTTCGCTTTTCTAGTAGTAAGCCGTCGATTTCTGCCCGCTTCTCTCCATGATAAGCGCCAATGAATAAGATGTAACCGTCTATGGTCTCACAAATTTCTCCCGTGTCGAGATCGCTTTCAACGTCAGCAGCCTCGTGCTCGTATTGCTGGTTACCGTCGTGTAAGAATAGGTTCGTTTTTTTGTCATTCATCATGGGTATCAACTTGTTTTTGTTCCAATATTTCAGCATCTTGAGGGTGCCAGAGATGACAAGCGTTATTCTTCTGAGGAAGCCGGAGATGACGAGCTCGTTGGTCTGTTTACCATCGAGTAGTTCCCCAGAGAGGGGACCATTTTGTATGTTGATGACTCCACGATAATATTGATGTCGTTCCAAGTTTGATGGTGGAGAACTTGAGCTCTCTGGAAAAACCCTTGTATTTAGTTTGACCTCGCCGTCAATCGAGGCCCAGGACCATGAAGGGGCCTCTAAGAGCTCTTCCTGAATAGGACGACCTCGGGATTTCCAGCGAAGACACAGAGGGAAAGTAGACCACCACATGCCTGAAAAGTAGATGTCATCAGGTAGGAGCTTTTGGAACTCCTTTGCTAGTCCTGAAATAGCTACCAACTTATCAGTCGGGTTGCTTAGCTTCTTTTCCGAGTACATTTCGCAAAGGTCACCCCAAAGTTCATGTATTTCGATTGCCGGTCGCAGTGGTGTGATCGTGGAATCCTTTAACAGCATGTTACGCTTGTTATAGAAGCGTGGTGCGCCATTTGGGAATGTTTCACTTGCAAAGTATGGTGCTTTGGAGCAGCACTCCCAAAACATCTCCCGCTCGGTAAAGTGAAAAATCCGTCGTGCGAGATGTCTTTCTTGGAACACCCAAGCTCTCTGGGATAAGGGGGCAGTGTTGACCCAGTCAAACATATCACGCTCATCAACGGTCAATTGGATAGTCTGTCCTATCTCCGGCAATTCTATTGTTAGAGGCTGAACCCTCATCGGGGAGCGGGGGTTGAAGAGTCCATCCCGAGCATCAGCATTCCAGTCTGCGGAAATGTTGAAGTACCCTTGCTTATAGACTCGATCCATCAGCGAAGCCTCGCGTCGCCAATCGGCATCGCTGTCCTGGATGATACACAGAGAGTCTATCCAAAGCCATCGAACTACATGAAAGCATGAATGAGTTTGAAGACTGCTTGGGTATTGGGAAGTTACCTTGAAACCATTGGGCGACTGTGATAGCATCTCGGAATGTCTGCGGTATTTTCTCGATACTGATGCCTATCTCATGTCTATCCCGCTCGTTCGCAGATGTCAGGACGGGCATCTCTTTTGAGCCCCACTTCCCCCAACAATGACTCAGTGTAATATACCTCTTTTCCTTGGGCAAAGCATCGGAAACCTCCCTTGATGATCCCAGCCGCAATACTGAGGTCTTTGATGCATGTCTAACATCTAGGAGCCGAGTTGGAAGCCATGTGCCCTCTGACGAATCGCAATCCACATGTTGTCCATCTTCATTCTTCTGACAGCGATCAAGCCATTCTTTTGCCAGTCTTTGGGATGAAATAGACCCTGTACTATCTTCTTCTGGAATGGCCGAAATACTTTCATCGCTGTCACTATCGCGTGAACATGGACGGGGACGATATCGACCATTATTTTCAAGGATATCAGCTGAGCTACTTCGACTCAGCGGACCTCCGTGACGTTTCGTGGATGGCGCGGACTCATCACTACCGCTGTCTGTGCCTCCCGAAATCAGAGACCGGGGCAAAGCGTCTTCCACGATGTCTATTATCTGATCATAATCGCTAAAGTTGCTGCTTGAGCTATGTGACCTGGCTTGAGAAACATCTAAATCTGAGGCTGCGTCAGAAAGGTGGGCAAAGTCCTCGGTGGGCCAAATTTGCAATCTGAGAAAATTCCAGTAGTTATCTTCGTTTCTGTCCCGCTTTGGATTGGTCGTTGAGAAGTGAAGACGACAGTATTTCAGAGTCTCATGCCCTGTGAAGTCGACATGAAAAGACATTTCGACCTGGGTGTCCCGCGCAACATGTCTCCACATCCCAGCTTCACCCTCCGGGCCTCTCATATACGAGGCAAGAAATATACAAAGATGACAAGAGTAGGAAAAGGCCTCATCGAACAGTGAGTACAGCTCACGATGATGGGAGACAACTTCAGAGAGTTCGAGATCTTTGGCGGAAGTCCGCCACGCTTTACATGCTCCCACAACGTACGCAAAGTATTCCAACGCGCTTCTGCATACGTCGCAAAGAGGGGAGTGTGTGCGAATGGGCCTGCGTTCGGCCTTGGGACGGGTCGGTGGAGGAACCTCAGAGTGGTATGACCAGTCATTGCTACGATATCTGCTTTCCTCGAATAGTTGCTTGAATGGTAGTTCGGCGTAAACGGCAACCTTGTCCCAGGAACTCATACTTCAGCGGCGTGATAGTGTGTTGACTATATTCCTACTTTCTTCCAAGTTGTGGCGGTGAGACAAGATATTATTCGTGCAAACACAAAGGATTTGAATAAGTTGCTGACTAAGAAGTTTAAGCCAATCACCAGCGAGTGCATTAATTCGTGAAGGCGGGGTTTGCTTCGAGGGGTCAAACCCCGCCCCGAACCCCACCCCGTTACGCAGCGTATTCGTAACGATTAACATTTAGTCGAATACTATAAAATTTATTTATTTAATACTATTTACTATTATTACTATTATTACTATTATTCTCCAACTAGGCAATCTACTACGTGAAAAACGTGGCAAGTGCTACGACGATACAGCATCCCAAGGTGTTAACGAACGGCGTCAATGATGCTTCCCAGCAATTCGTGACCGGAATCTTTCCCATCATAGGTCGTGGCATGAAAGATGGATTCTCATTCGGCGGAACGGACCTCCTGCTCCTGTGAATCGAATGCCCAGCCCTAGTACGAGCAAGAGATAAGGTTCCGGCTCGTCCTTGAATTTCCCCCAAGCAAATGATCCTGATGCACATCCTGGAGCGATGGTGCGGATGGCTTCGAGATATTCGAATTCACCTTTGATTACGAGTCGACCAGTCTCGCCGAGCGAGGTATTAGTAAAGGTACAAGTCAGAGGCTAATACTTCGGATGGCAAGGGCTGAATGAAGCAGAGACACGTTGAGAAAGAAGTTCTTGGATTGTTCAGCGAGCAAGCGGGTAAGAAGCTTTGCAGTCCTGTCTCACCCAAGAAATAAGGTACCCCAGACTGAGAGCGGCAGTGACCGTAGTTCCCGAATGGGGAAAAGCTAGAGAAGTATGAAGCCTGAAGACCTAGATTAATTCCCACTACCTCTTGGACCGTGACTGCGTGCCTCCCTCTCTTTCAAGACGTTTTCTACCTCTTTATTCCAACCATTCACCTCGGCCAGCATGCAGAGAGGTATGGAGGTGGCACGGACATCAATGGCAAAAGGGTGCGGCAGAAGTCTGACCACCTTCGCCATTCAGAATCTCACCCAACACAGTTCTAACAATAATGATAAGCTACAGTTGATGCACGCGGCCTTCTGACATTCGAGAATCTCAAGCCCCACCACTTCACAGGTTTCACCATGCGGAGAGACTTAGGGGTAAGGTAGATCCTACAGAGTACTACATATGAAAAGTGGTGGTCCATCAATTACTTCACACACCATTGGTCGAAATCCCTGATAAGTCGAAACTGCTTTCCGATGCATGTAAGATTTCCGCTACCCATTGCCTGCCGAAAAAAAAAAAAAAAAAAGAACCCCCCCGGAAAACTGGGCCACTTATCCTGATGAGGAAACCCTTGCGCAATGCGGCGGAGCGGCCTGGAATAGTATCGAGAGTCGAATCGCGAAAGATTTCTCGATCGTGTGCCGCTCTCAAAGGACCAAGCACTCGTTCCTGCTGCGCCAATACCTACTTGCCCATCGTTCCAATCAAATGTTTTAGACCGTCATTGCAAGTACCCTCTACACGGAAACTACGCTTAAAACGCACACCACCCATTGGTCTTTGCGTGCTCGGAACGCGAACAACCACCACCATGATGAAATTCGATAGGCAGGGGAAGCGACTTTTTTGGCAGGGCCTGCATTGCATGTGTTTGGGGCTGGATGTTACTTAGTATAGCACCAGCTGCTTCTCTTTGGTCCATCCATGATAAAAACCCAGCCTGCTGAGGCCTCTTCTTCCGCGGTCCTCGTTTCTCTATCTTCTCTGCTCGACTCTACTGCTCATTACGGCTTTGACGTTCCGAACGTCCAAGCAGCTATCGGACAGCATACGTGCTGCCGTCAAAAGGCGCTGACTGGCGGCCAACAATGTCGAGGCATCAGAACGGCGTGGGTGCCGGTTACCCAGTCGTGCCGACTTCTTACGAAGTCGCTCACGTCGTCACTCTTTTGGTGTTCACATTTCTTGCAACCGTTGCAGTCGCCCTCAGGTTTTGGGCTCGACGTATACAGAAGCAAGCTCTCGCACTCAATGATTATTTGATAGTTCTGGGTCTGGTGAGCAGCCGGCAACGAAAGCCAAGTCCATTCCACCGTTTGACTGTCGCAGATCTTTGCGTTTGGTGAGACTGGCGTCAATGCCTACGGTGACTCTCCTTTGCCACTATGAAATATGTCTTGAGGAAGTATCCTTGCTTACATTTGCTAGGCTGTTGCTTTCCTCCTCAATGGAAGAGTTCCACTCAATCTGCAGACAGAACACTGGCTCTTCAGGTATGAAATACTTGCTTCCAAGGAGAGTCAGTCTAAAAGCAGCGTGCCCAGCTCATATTCTTATCGCCGATTATCTGGGTGGTCGCTGTCACAATCATTCGTGCTTCGATAATTTTCCTATACATTCATGTCTTCCCAACCCGCCCCTTTCGCATCGCTTGCTATGGGGCATTACTTCTCAACATGACTTTCCTGACGGCCACGGTTCTTGCGGACTGCTTAATCTGTCGACCTATAAGGTACAGGTGGGATTTCGCTATCAAGGGAGCCTCATGCGGAGACGAAACAAAGCTCGGTCTCTTCATCGCGATTGTCAACTTCCTACAAGACGTCATTGTCGTGGTATTGCCTATGCCTATACTTTGGAACCTGCAAATGGCCGTGAGCAGGAAAGCGGCGCTGACCGGCATGTTCGGGATGGGTATTCTGTAGGGCTCCCGGCTCCCGTGGTTGCCACTGCTTGCTTCGCAGAGACATGTAACTTACTTGCTGATACCTATGCGATGCAGAATCTGTGCTGTGACTGTCTACCGCATCCAGGTAACCGCCACCAATGACAATCCGAGCAACCCAGCTTCGCAAGAGAAATACGCTCTCATCGCGCTCCTGACCTCTCTCGAGACGCTCCTGGGTATCATAAGTGCCTGCTTGCCAATCCTGAAACCGATAACCAAGAGACTTCGGGTCTCACTCCCCAAGCGCGGGTCAGACACAAACAAACCCTCCACATCTGGCAGCATCCCTATCATTATGCGTATAAGTCACATGTTTACAGCATCGTCCCAGAAGTATTCGTCAGGAGAGCATATTCCATCGCCGGATCGGTCATGGTATGAGATGCAGGTGGGTAAGGATGGGACAACGCACGTTTCGGTGAGACCGAAAGCAGACCAAAGGACGGAGGACGAGCTAGCGGGGAAACCCGCCGGAAGGGATGAAGATATGGAGAGCATGTACAACGCTATGTGAACGCCGGTTGGGCCGAGTCAGCAATCGCTTCATGGAAGATCGATACTTTGGAACGTGGTATAATGGTATAGATCATGTTGGGCTAGCACAAAGAACCTGGCCGAGGGGGGTTTTTTGCCCACAGGTCTATAATAACATCAACGTTCCCTGTCCTTTATTCAGACCATCACAATCACCAGTCCCTCCCCCCCCCGCTCTCTCTCAGCAGGAGCAGGAAGCACCTCCTCCACCTCACCAAAGACCCAACAAGAATCTACACATACGCGCACCTTCCCCACCGCTCCTTCCACCCCAACACACACCCTCGCACGCTACGATTTAAGAAGCTCAAAGCCGCATCTTCCCACACGGAAGCGAGGTTCGAGAAAGCTCCCGCGGCGCTTTGGGGCCGGGGCCGCTGTTTCGCTGGCGGCAGGTAAATAGGTTGAGTGAATTTTGCGAATGTGGACGATGGAGTGTGAAGACTGAATGGGGGATGGGACGGTGGCGTACGGGCCGATTTGCCGGGCTGGTGTGATTGTTGCGGCCGTGAGGGAGGGAGTTGGTTGGGAAGATGACGGGGACAGATGACTCGAGTGGAGCATATCGATTGGGCCGATTGGAAGGTTATGAGTGCATTGCGTGACGTCTACAACTCCAAAAGATAGTCCGAGGTGCTTCACACTTCGTACATGTACGTGTCCCATTCCTTCACCTTCTCTTTACGCATGAGCCCAGCCTTGATAACGCCGATCACGCACCTCTCGATCAGCACCGTTGACAGATCGTCTGGATGCGTGTGCGCGCGAGGAGGTTGGTACGTTGACCGAACCAACGTGGATCGTTACGACGGAGAGGCTCGTGCCGTACAGCTACAAGCCAAACTGGGCTGAGGAACCTGGCGTGACCGTCGTCGAAGCCCTGGCCGAGTTGCGGAAAGCATGGGTATCAGAGTCGATGTATTGTGTTATTAGAAAAGGGAAGATTAATACATAGGTTGCAAAAACACGGTTACACACCCCGGGAAGAAGGTAGTCACAATCTAAGCCTCACCCCGACCCAGCGTCATCCGCCCCCTCCTTCCTCAACCCCTCACACAGCTTCGACCGCGCCACGATCATCTCCGCCAACCCCTTGATGCTCGAGCTAGTCATCAACTCCAACGTGCTCATCGTCGCCTCCATCTCCCGGGTGATCCAGCTCCTCACCTCGATCGCGATCAGCGAGTCCAGCCCCAAGGCGACGACGGGTTTCTGGGTGCTGATCTCGTCGGCGGGGATGATGAGCACGCCGGAGAGCTTGCCGATCAGGCCGTCCGAGGCGGCGCGCGTGGCGTCTTCCAGGCTGCGGGCCTGCTTCAAAGCCTTCCTCGGCGTCATGCCGGATCCCTCGCCGTCCGATCCCCCGGCGGTACCGGCCGCGCGGCGAAGGTGCGAGAAGCGGGCGTCGGTGGCCCAGAAGAACGCGGCGTGCTTCGGGTTGTAGTTGTCAAAGTCGAGGCCGATCGTGCATTGGTGGTCGGCATGTTTGTCGATCTGACCGGTCACGGCCAACTTGATCAGTGCAAGGACGTCCGCCTCGTTGAGGGTGGCGTCGCCGCTGAGAGATTCGAGGCCGGCTTGGAGCTCGGGCCTCTCGGCCACGAAGCCGATTTCTTTGACCACGCCCAGATCGATGGCTGTAGCTGGGAGGCCTTGGGACACCCTGTAGTGGGCGAACTCGTCGAGGAAACTGTTGGCGGCCGCGTACGCTGCTTGGCCGCGGTTACCAATAACACCACTGATGGAGGAGAGCATGATGAAGAAGTCGAGTTTGTGGTCGAGCAGCGTTTCGTGGAGGTTCCTGGCGCCGTCGACTTTCGGCCGGACCACGTCGGTCCAGTCGCTGAATACTGCTTGTTCGAAAAGGACATCCTATATAATCCGATCAGTATCTTGACCTAATGTTCCAAAAGCCTTCGTGAAAACAGACCTTGTTGACATATGCGCCATGGATAACACCCCCAATGGGTGGCATTATCTTTGCGCATTCTGAGATGAGAAGACGCATGTCGGCCTCGATACTGGCATCACACTTGCAAATTTCGACTTTGATGCCGATCGAGCTTAGTTCGTCCACCAAATTCTGTGCCACGGTTTGAGTCTTGCCGCTTCGAGAAGCTAGGATGATGTTCTTCGCTCCACGTTGCGCCATCCACCGGCATATGGCACGTCCTATTCCGCCGGTGCCGCCAGTGATCAAATACGAGACATCAGCGCGAAGTATATCTGGTTCTAATAAAGACCGGGTTGCCTAGAATGTTTGTCAGCTTTGACTTTTACTCAGCGATCTGGGTAAAACCACTGGGGCGCAAAATGTCACATGGTATCAGGACGATATCTGCTCTCAATGTATCGACTTACCATCACTGTGTCATTTGCCTTGGGCACTATGACCAATTTTCCCATCAGCTTGCCGCTTTGCAACGACCGAAAGGCCGTCTCGGCCTCCGACACGGCAAACTCGTGAATTGGACTGACAGGCGCGACGATGTCTTGACGGAACAAGTCCATGACCTCTTTGAAGACCTCTTGCAGCACTCTAGGCTTGTACTGCACCAATGCCGTCAAATCCACAGCTGTGAAGCTGACGTTCTGTTCGAATCGGGCCATCTCCAAGTTCGTATTGCCGGTGATGTCTCGCTTGCCAATTTCAACGAATCTTCCGAACGGAGCCATACACTCCCACGTAGCGCTTAATTGCTCCCCGGCAAGAGAGTTCAGAGCGACATCGACGCCCCTACCGCACGTAGCCTCCATGACTCCTTTCGCAAAGGAAGTGTTGCGACTGTAGAAAATGCATTCCTCAGGGACATTGTATTTTTGCATCAAGAATTCTTTCTTCTCTGGGCTCCCAACAGTCGCAAGGACTCGAGCCTTTGTCGCTTGAGCTAGCATTATGGCGGCTTGACCGACACCGCCCGCGGCTGCATGGATTAGAACAGTCTCATTGGGGCGAAGACGAGCCACGTGGGCTAGGCAGTACTGGGCGGTACAATAAATGATTGGAATCGAAGCCCCTTGCGGATACGATATAGAATCTGGTAGCAACACGGCACAATCGGCTTTACATCGGGCGAGATTGGCAATAGTACTTCCTGATACGGCACAGACTCGATCACCTCGTCTGATTGCACGAACGTCGAGTCCGACTCTAGTGACCACGCCAGAGCATTCTTGTCCGAGATGATTGCCGGCCAGTTGTCCGAGAGCCAGAATGACATCTTTGAAGTTCAAGCCCGCAGATTTGACGTCGATCTCGATCTCGTCGTCGAGCAGAGGTTTCGTTGCCTGCTTGTCTTCCACAAAGCATAGAGTATCGAGAAATCCAGGACTGGCAACGGTCAGTTTCAGTGGTCGCCCTTCTTGTACAAAAGGCTGAAGGTCCCTGAAGCCTTTATGAGTCTCTCGGTTCAGGTGTTGGTCCAGGGCATTGTCATGAACGAGTCGAGGAATGTAAACAACACCATCTCTCACAGCAAGTTCGGTGTCGTACTCAGTCTGCGCGAAGGAGCAGAAGAATGAGCGCTCAAAGATTTGACCAACGAGGTCAACAATATTGCTGGACGGGAACCCCCAGTCGTCGATCGCCAGGGTCACGAGGTTGGTGATCTGTGATTCTGAGCGGAGGGTCCTCGTCAATCCTCTCACAGTTCCGGCATCCGGAGACGTCACGCCGCCTGTAATCCAAAGGACCCCAGCCGCTTGAGACAAGGCCTTCAATCCTCTAAAAGAGTCAGCAGTCATAGTGGTCAAGTGCGGGCATCTTGGGTCATCAATGACAATACAATGCTTTCCACTGAGGTTTGTAACCGCCAGTTCAGCAAATTGCACCCATACCACAGTCCTTGGACCCCAGACGTTCAGAACGTTCTCAAAGTCAGCTTTAGAAGCCCCTTCGGGGAGCCCTTGTGCGACGACGATTAAATCAACTACAGTCTCATCAGGCGTAGTGCCTATCGGAGCGGCGGTAGCGAGTGCGACACTGACAGCATGTTGTGCATCCTCGGAGTAGTGTTGCGGAATAAAATCAAGCCCAGAGAACCCGTTTGCTTCGAAAAGAGCTTTTGTTCGGGCTTGACTGATCGTGGTGCAGTCTTTGTGGGGTGTGTTGCCTGTTTTGCGATTGTCAATTAGCCACGACCTCACCATGTGAGGGAGGGAAAAGGTCTGCGCATACCATTCACATAATGATTGTTACCATTCACACGATGATTGTTACCATTCACACGATGACTGTTACCATTCAGAAGATGATTACCACCGTTCATAAGATGGCTATCAGTGCTTTGTTGGCCGTCGAGCGACCAGCTCGGGGACGAGCTTAAAGGTTTCTCGAGGTTCGTGTCCTCGACAATGATTAATGTGCCTCCAGGTTGCAGCAGGGAACGGATGTGTGTTATTGCTTTTTGCGTAAAGGCCGTATCGAGAAGATGGTTGGATGCAGTAACAACAACAGCATCGTAAGACTCGGATTCAAAACCTTGGTCCTGAGGTAGAAGCTCAATGTCTAACGTTTTGCAGTTGACAAGCTTCCCCCAAGGAGCCAGCTTTGCCCTTACAGTCTCCAGGGTGTCCGGAGACGTATCTGTGAAGTCGTACTGCACAAACCTGGCGGGCTCCTCAGCAGCACCTCCCAGTAATTCTAGTATTGGGACTGTCGCACTGGTGGTGCCTGCGGAAATCTCTAGAATCCGAAGTCCTGGGTTCTGATGAGCCAACTTTCCAACGAGCTTCGCCGCAAACCCATAGCATTGCTGGTAGTTGTTACCATCAATTGACCCAAGCGCGCTCACGGGGAGACCTTTGCTGCCCTGTGATTGCGGCAGGTAAGTCATGCAAGGTTCCCATTGCGTTCGCAGACATCGAGCTCTTCCGACATCTTGGTTGGTCTGGGACTGTTGCACCGGAACTTCAGTAAAACCTCTGATCGAAACCCCGCATCCATACGATGGATTCCGCACGTCCTTGACATCCATATCGAATATCTGTCTCCTAGAGAATGTGTCAGGCTCTTGGGTCCGCGTATAAACTTCGAACACCGCTCCAGGCTGCCTTGACAACTCAAGTGACACTGTCATCTCTCGAATTGCAACGGGCATGTAGGGCGCCTTGGAGAATAGACCGCTTTTTACCAACAACGCTGCAGCTCCGTGGAAGATAACGTCCAGGGTTATTGGGTGTATTGTGTAGTCTGACTCGTAGTTGACCGGCATGCAAGCAGGAGTGTCCGGGACGATGGCGTTGTGCATCGCACACGATGGCCCGCTCATTACCTGCTCCATCTGCCGAAACATGGGCCCATAATCGAAGCCTGCGTCGGCTACCGCCTGATAAACCCCTTTAGCCTCGACTGGGCGAGTGCAGAGGCTTGTTCCTCGCGAAAGGTCTTCTGCGTAGCTCTGGAGACGGCTTCGTATTGCCACTTCGTTCTCGATTGGATTCGTCGCGTCCGCACTTCTAGGCTCTACAAGGCCACGGCAGTGCTCCAACCAGCCTCTCTCCAAACTCCAGGAAAATACTCTGAATTGGCTCCAACGATCTGAGGATGACCGAGGGCCTTCATGGAACGGCGTCAGAGACAGCCTGAGCTCAACGGACGTCGAGTCTGGAATGGCTAGAGCTTGATGGACGGAGACCTCCCGAAACCCAATAGAATTGAACTTGATCCCCTTCCAGCTTGCTTTTTGCCGGCAAGCTTCCATCGCCATGCAGAGATATGCTGCAAGAGGAAAGACAGTAAGGCCTTGGACCTTGTGGTCACGGAGCCAGGGAACGTCATCTGCCATGATTACGTTTCTCCATTGCGGCTCTAAAACACTGCAATCTGGCACACGGTTCCCCAAGAGGTCATGCCGTTGCGAAGAATATGTCTGCATTTCTTGGCTGGTTCTGCTCACGTGCCAGTACTCTTTCCCATGGTTCCACTGGTAAGGGGGTAGATCTGTCAAGATTTCCGGTAACTCCCCTTTGGGAAAGTTTATATTTCCCAGCTGCATCCGACACCCACTCATGAAAAGACGGGCCGACAATAGCAGCATAGCTGAGACACTGTCTTCGTTACGAATAAGAGAGGGCATGTATTGGATTTTACGGAAGCTGCCTTCGACTGATTGCAAGATCTGGCGCACGGGACCTTGCAATGCCGAGTGAGGGCCGATCTCCACGAGGATATCGACATTCCTTTCAGTCAAGTCCCCGCTTATCCCACACAGGCTTCGAGTTGCCTGTGAGAAAAGCACCGGCGAAGTGAGGTTTTCCACCCAATAAGTAGCTGTCAGCGTTGATGGCGCAACTCGGGCTCCCTTCAGTGATGAATGGAATTCGACCGTGGTTTGAGAACTGGGTTCCACCTTTCCTAGAAGTGATTTGTACTTGTCGGCAACGTATCTCATGTGATGAGAGTGGTATGCGACGTCGACTCTCAGTCTTCTGTTCCAGATCGATCGCGTATCAGCCAATCTTCCTGTCTGTGATATCTGGTCGGCGTCACCAGACACTGTCATACTATTGGGGCTGTTGACGCAGGCGATGATCGCTTGACCGTGCGCGCTATCATCTATCAGAGCCTGAGTATCCTTTTCACTGGCTCCGACAGCCAACATGCCTCCGGAGATATCCTTGAAGTCCTCCGTCAGCGTTCTCGCGACAAGTCCCCTGTAGTAAGCGATCGCCATACATGCTTCGAGGCGAAGTATACCTGCAGCATATGCTGCAGCAATCTCTCCGCTAGAGTGCCCAGTGACACTATGGGGAACAACAGCCCAAGACGAAAGCAAATCCACCAAGGCGATCTGCAGGGCTGTACATGCAGGCTGGCTGATGTGAGCGCTGTTGATAATTGAGGTTTCTTGAGGCTTCTCCAACTCGTCAATGAGGGACCATGAAGCTCCGAGTTCGGTCAAAATTCGATCAGCCTCGCGCACTGTGAGCGCGTAAGCAGGATATGTATGGTACAGGGATTTCCCCATTGTAGGCCATTGCGAGCCTTGACCAGTGAAGATGAACCCAATATTGGGATGCTCTCCTGACCTGACGGGAGCGAGTGCTGTATCTTTTAGGTCGTAAACCAATTGGTCAGGATTTGGAGCCAGGACGGCGAACTTCCACGCAAGGATTGATCTTCTCTGGCCGAGTGTGAAAGCTAAGGACCTCATAAGCTCCGGGTACATGGTGACCGGGCGTTCTTTCGCGTACTCCGCGACCAGAGAGATCTGACGCTCAAGCGATTCTCGGTCATTGGCAGAGAAGACGTAAAGGTGTTGTTTCGTACTCGATTTGGTGGAGGGATCCCGATCATTAGATCTATTCCGAGTGTCTAGCGGGGTAGCAACGTAAGATTTTGTCTTGCCCGGGAAGGAGGATTCTTCCAACACAGCGTGCTATTTCATCAAAAGTCAATGCGGTTTCTGCTTCTCAGATCGGTTCATGCCTACCGCGTTCGCACCTCCGAAGCCAAAATTGTTTACAGATACCCGCCGAATACTTGAACTATCCCATGGTACGTACTTGTTAGAGACCTGCAAAGACTATCAGTGAACCTAACCCAACCACCCATTGACCTACGAACGCGATACGCTAATATCCCCTGCGTTCAATGAATGGAATTCTCAGGGAGTTTGCTTACCTTCATGTTGCTTTTCTCGAAAGGTATCTTGCGATTTGGCGTCTGCAGATCGCAATTGGGCAGCAGAAACTTGCGTTCCAGCATCAGAGCAGCCTTGATTACCGAGCAGATCCCACTAGCCCCTTCCAAGTGACCAATGTTCGACTTCAGTGAACCAATAAGAACTTTGCGCGACTCGGATGCACGTCCGAAAACTTCCGAAAGTGCCGCGGCTTCGATAGGATCACCGGCGGCGGTGCCGGTCCCATGGGCTTCAATAAAGTCTGTCTCCAGGGGATCCAAACCTGCTGAGCTGTACACCTCTCGAATGAGCGCCGTCTGCGCTTTGTTGTTGGGCAATGTGATACCAGCTGTTCTGCCGTCTTGATTCGTTCCTATGTTTCGAACGATTGCTCGTATTGAGTCACCGGCCTTTAATGCAGCTTTCAAAGGCTTGAGGATGATGCACCCCGTACCCTCGCCACGTCCATATCCACTGATGGCCCGATCATCAAAAGCATAGCATCTTCCATCAGAAGAGAGTAGCCTTTTCATGTTAGCTTTGGCTTTCGTACTTGATAAGCGCTCTACCTTGTAGTCGATAACGACACCGACGATTCTGCCAGAACATTCAGGTGCGAACCGCCAACGATGGCCGCGGATGATTCCCCGGCCTGCAGACTCTTAAATGCGGCATTTAAGGCAACAAGGCTCGAGGAACAAGCTGTATCAATAGTCATACTCGGACCCCGAAGGTCAAATCCGTAGGAGATCCGATTGGACAAGAGCGATTCCGCATTGCCGGTCACCTCAAACATTGGGAGATTGTCGAGGTCTTTCCACATGTGAGTGCGATATTCAGAATAGGAACTGCCGATGAATACCCCCATGTTAGTGCCTGCGACACTGGACAGTGTGATGCCGGCATTTTCGAGCGCTTCATAGCTGACTTCCAGCAAATGACGCTGTTGAGGATCCATTACCTGTTGCAAGTGCTCGGTCAGCTGACACTATACCCTCAAAAGCGGACCATAAAGCCATGAAAACTCACCGTTGCCTCGGCTGGTGTCAAACTGAAGAATTGCGCGTCGAATCGAGCAATGTTTTCCTCTACATAGTGTCCTCCCTTGGTATTGTAGCATCCTCTCTTGTCGGGATTAGGGTGATAGTGGAAGTTGGGCGTGTGTCGATTTTCTGGATGAAGAGTCCAACCACTTTGGCCACTTGCAAGCGAGTTCCAGAGGTTCTCTACATTGGTCGCTCCAGCAGGAAGTCGACACGCCATACCAATTATCGCCACTGGTTCGTGTTCTCCATATAACTTCGAGAACAACGCTTCCTGGCTGTCCGGGCCCAGTGTGGGCTCCATATCGGTAGCGTTGAAGTCAGAGAAGAACAGCTGTAGACTCCAGGGCAAACGTGAAAAAATAACCTAGAATTTCCCATAAAGAACCCCGAGAGTCTGTCCAAAATATATGCTGATGCGATGCCTGAAAATAAAGAGATCCTTCTGTTTTAGCATGTGCATGATATATTCCTTTGAGTCTGGCCAAGCGGTAGAGCTTCCACACCTTCCGTGAAGCCGAGAAGACCGCACTTCTTGCCAAGGTTTTTTATGCAAAATCTTCGTCGTCAGCGAACAAAGCAATGTTGCCAAGACAGTTGGTGAATAATGCATATCATAGTGGCGTTCGCGTATCATAGCGGAGTCGGACCGATGATGGCCACCGAATTGGACGCGTGGTACTGGCATAGGTTGATAAGACGGACTTGTACTGCATCTGGCAACCAGCATATAGATGCAGCCAATCAGTTAGTGTCCGAGAGAAGGCGTCGCAGCTCTCTCAACCGGGCTTTATTACCTAGGCTTTGTAGTCGTGATATCATGGCTATAATTAGGACAGACTGCAGGATATCAAGCACGAGAGACGCTAGTCGACTGTAATGGACATTTACCGTATCGGGTATCGTTGCTGTCCGTCGCTCCATTGTCCAGAAAAACGCTTCCTAATCACTTGACCTACTTCCAGTTTCTCATTAATTGTTCATTCCTCTTAACTACACAAGACTACAGAGACGGGTGAAACGGTGGAAAGGATGAGATTTTTATGTCTAGCAGGCGCTGGCACGAACGCAGAGGTGAGACACGGGAATGCTCTGTGACACCTCGTCCGACTGGCGCTGACACGATGAACAGACCTTTCGAGTGCAGATCTGTACGTACAACCTTATCTCTCATCGGTACCCTGCTGACAGGACACAGTGCCAATCGTCCAAGACCTGGAGCAGGACGGCACCGCGTCTTTCCACTTCATTCATGGCGACATCGAATCACCTCCTCCCAACGAATTCAAGGAGTTTTACGGCTCACCTCCTCACCGTCGCTTCCTCAAACAATACTGTAGCGGTAGAGCAGATTATGAGTTTTTTAATGCACTCTGGAGTGCGCCGCATCGGTTGACGCCAGAGCAAAAGTACCGTGAAATGGTGCAGTCTCTACGTCCCGAGAGTACCAACGACGTTCAAACGATCCTCGACCGCCTCTATCGCGTTCTCGACCACGACGGGCCTTTCGACGGAATCATCGGAAACTCGGAAGGCGCATCCGTGGCTGCTATATTCGTTGTCAACTACTTGACAAGGTGTGCACGGAAGGAAATTCAGCACTCATTGAAATGTGCGGTGTTCATGAGTGGCGGTCCACCCTCTTTCCCGGATGGCACGGGGGTTTTCCTCGCTGACGAGCACGGTCAAATCATTACCATGCCGACATGCCATATCATTGCGTACAACGATTCGTTGATAGATAGTGCAGTTGCTCTCTACCATCTTTGCGATCAAGCGTCTGCAACTATTGTAGACCACGGTAAAGGGCACTTGGTGCCCCGGGATCCGAAGTCTTCTAAACTCATGGTCAAGGGAATCCGCGACTTGATCGTACGGGCAACAACCTCTTCTCCAGGTTGACTGCTATACCATGGCGTTCGCTGTGGGCCTGGACTTGGCCTTCGCACCGCATCACAAGGCTAACGTGGGGGTCATTGAGATCGAGTTCGCCAATGTTTTTGAAGTGTACGTAGTCCGAGACCATCATACTAGTATCGAGTCGTATTGATCTTGTGGGTCAAAGGGCTCGGGTTCCAGAATAGAACAATCTAATGAATGAAGTCAAAGCGAAGCTCGGACACATGGCCAAACAGAACAGCCAATGGGTTTCCCTCAGGCATGGGTGTATTACAACAGAAGTGAAGCGGTATCCACATCTAGCAAGAGTAGACTAGAACTTTGCGCCTCGCTGGGGGACCTGAGGAGGTGACGTTACGTAGAGGTAAACACATGCTACAGGCGACTCGCCACTATCAGAGGCTGTCATTGTCACAACTCTAGGCCAGGCGAAAACGGGTCTTACGGTTTGCCAACATCAGGAAAGGTGGTGTGTTAGAAGCAAGGACGAACGATGATGGCGGGAAGGGGTTGATGTGCGAATTCAAATTTGCACCGCTTAGCTCGATCAGGAAGGAAGGCTCGGCGCGCTCGACCGAAGATACGGTAGCCGCCATAGATGCAGGGCTGAGAAGACGAAAAGTTACATTATGCGGCTAAAGTATATGAGCAACTAGTTCGACCAGGGTCAGCCCGTCGGGCCTTCGGCTCTTCGAGCGCGCCTGATTTATTTACCGGAAAGTTTTGACGATCTATTGTCTGCTCTCGTGTCGTTACGGTATCTTTACGACGGTATATGAATTTCTTAATAATTCGATGATGATGTGGATTTCATCGGTATCCAAGGTGGCTTGCAATGATAGTGAACTGAGCCGCGGCTATTACTTTTCTCAATCATCTTGCCTCGTCATCGACGGGGCCCCCCTACCCGTGCAATGCTCTTTTTGCAAAGACCATGCGGGATACCACTGGCAGCGAAGAAGACAAACTGAGTCCTTGCCGTTTGGACTTGTCCTCAGTCCTTGTCTTTCTCCAATCTCTCGCTCATCGCTGGCCACCTCACTGGACTGCACAAGTCAACATGGCTTCATCATCGCCAGAGTCTGCCCCTTTCTGTTTGACTCCCCTCGATAACGTCATCGGTGCCCCCTACGTTCACAAGGCTATGTTCTTTCCCGATTCCGGCTCAGATGTCTCGTTACTGGTGCAGAATATGACATCTGCCCTCGCTCAGACGTTCAACGCGATCCCACTTCTGGCGGGCACGGTCACGCGTCTTCCAGATGCTCCACAGAGAGGGAGACTGGCAGTCACAGCTCCCTGGAGGACCGCTGAAGATGCACTCATAGTGAAAGACCTGAGAAGGACGGACTATCCTAGTTATGAGGCCTTGCGCTCCAAACAATTCCCTATGGTCGACATCAACTACAGTATACTGGTGCCAACACGACAACAGATGCTTATACCGAAGGTCGAACGGCTGGAGGTAGGCGAGAGACCGGTCCTGCTAGCACAGATAAATTTGATCAAAGGTGGCATGGTCTTGGGATTCATCCTCGACCACGCTTTCACCGACGGCGCCGGGTCCTTTACTGTCGCCAGAGTGTGGGCTGCTTACTGTCGGGGTGAAGATGGATCGCAGCTTGTCAGCCCTGATTGCGTTGATAGAACCCGGCTCATAGAGGGTGATGAGAGCGCAAGACTCGAAGACATCAGAGAATATAAATACCACCCTGAACCAAAAAGTCCGGCTCGGACGCAAGGCTTTCTCTCTCGAATGTTCAAAAATCTGCGCTTGTGGATCGTTCTTTTTTCTCGTTCACTTCTCGACTTCAGATTGAATGCAATGGACAATTTACGAGCGGTCCTTCGTGTCGGACCAGCGAACGAGACGTCACGGTCTGAGTCCAACCCATTGGCAGGAGAAATGTTCTTTTTCTCCAAAGCAAAGCTTCGAGAATTGAAGGAAATGGCATCAAGACTAGAAGGTGACGAGACGAGTTGGATCTCTACCAATGATGCCCTCGCTTCTTTGATGTGGTGTTGTGTCACCGCCGCCCACAAGACCAAGATTCAAAATCATTCCGAATCGATCAAAGACGAAACCGGGCTCTGCTTCGTCATCGATGCAAGACGGTTCGCAAGACCGCCCTTGCCTGCACGCTTCATCGGCAATGTTCTCATCTGGGGAAACATCATCAAACCCTTCAGCACTGTCATTCCTACGGCCAAAGGCGTGACCGAGTGCGCTCACACTCTGCGGCGTAAGATCAACCAATACGACGACACCTATCTCCCACACTTGATTGGAGCCATTAAATCTGTCCCTGACGTCAGCAGAGTGAGACTCGACAGTATGGGATTTGAGGGGCGATACCTTGTGGTCAATTCCTGGGCGACTCAGGAGTTGTACGATCTTGACTGGGGCACACTGGTGGGTGGAAGGTGCGAGCGAGTCAGGATACATAAGCCACAGTTTGAGGATTTCTGTCTCGTACTGCCTGAACTGAAGGGTTGCAAAGGAAACGAGGAAGCTGCTGGTTTGGAGGTCATTATCAGCATTAGAAGCAACTACATGAAGATGCTGAGGGAGAATGAGCTTTTCAATCGCTTCGCGGAGTGGAGATGCAGTTGAGAGAGAGCATCGCACGCTTGGGACAGCCCAAGATCTATTATGGCGATACTAGACTTCGCCAGCGGTATTTTTCTTGCATAGTCCTTCGGACTATAGAAGTCTTATTGCTAGCAGTCCTCTCGAACCCATCAGGCTGGCTCCTTTCACAGCAACGTGGCAATTCGAAGCAGTAAAGATAGAAAGAACTACTGCAACATCAACCACTGACCTTTCTCACACGAAAAACAAGTAACAGACATATGCATCCTCAGGTGACACAACAATGACGGATCTTCTCAACATTCTCACACCATGCATTACCTGCGGGCACAATGCCACCGTCCAGGATCCAATGCTACCAGTAACATGTGTCAATCCTGGACCCTTCGAAAAAATCGCCACATTTGCGACCTCCGTCGGCTACGCAATTCTTGCAATCAGCCTCCCTCTTCACATTCGTACCCAACCCGGATCCCCCTCCCCCCAAAGAAAATCTCCTCCGATCATCGCGCAGTAGTCTGCTACAACCGTGCATCTGTCGACATGCAGTGTGAGCAAGCTGCGATCTGGGCCCTAATTTCAAGTGGGCCCATTGATTGCCTTTCCGCAGCTTGGGATTTCCCATGCAGACCATCTTTCCATATGGATCTTCACAATATTGGCGGCTTTAAGCCCAATTCTTCCTCAAGGGCTTCTCGCTAAGGCGGCTGAGTAGATAGGGACTCCTCCGCCCCTATTGTGGGATGATAAATACACTTGCGACACCATGGAAATCTTCTGGCCTGGCCATCAAAGCACATTAATGATGCACTCTTTATCGTACATGTAACCAGGTATGTGATTGGCGGTTGCCCGTGAAGGTGCATTAAAGCTTAAAATGAGGCTTCAGAGAACGAGACTCCTTAGCCAGTAAAGCAAATTGACCATCCGCGCTTTGACGTAAGATACGCGTCTTTTTGTTTTGCCCGTCTCGCTAAAAGCCTAAAAGTTTGGAAATGGATTAAACACGATATTGCCGGCGTGCCGGTGATATGTTTCTCGGCAATGACGGCACACCCCGTCCGACTAGGGTAGCCAACATTTGCCGCGCTGAAGAATATATACTTTACTCCAGTGATCGTAAAAGCTTCTATGATCTTCTGACGGGTCTCTTGATCCTCCGGCTTCTGGTCTTTGACGGAGCAGTACCGAGCTCTTCAACTGCCGGCATGGTGTCAGGCTTCCTTTAGAGAAGAGTTCCCGTACGTTCTCTGGCAGATCTCCTACGCTTTGATCCACTCGTGCAGACACAGGATCAGTGCATGCATGAAAGACTGATGACCCACTTTTACATTAATCAATCTCCACAGGGAGATGTGGTCGTCAGCATCCATGCAGGGTCCCATCTAAGTAAGCCGACATGCTCGCCCAGGTGAACTTAGCTACTGTACCATGGCTTGATATCGATGATCAGGCACTACAAAATCAAGCTTTACATTTAGAATGTCATCTCGGGCGCTAACAGAGACCGAAAAAGCTTAAATATAAGCCTCCAAATCCAATGTCGGGAGAGTCTTACGGAGGTCGGCACCAAAAGTCCTGGGCAAACGTCGTACTTCCTCGAAGTATTGGGATGGTCGCCAGGGAGGTGATGTACATCCGACTCGACTGAGCGGGCCAATGAGTATGTTCGTAGCTACATGAAGAATCATCATTAGGAATTTTGCAATATTTGCCGAGAGTGCCAGGAGGCAGGACTTCCCTACGGAGGTCGACAACCAAAAGTCCTGGACAACACTAGGCCAGCCCTAACCCTATCTTCGGAAGGCAGCCCCGTAGCGAGAGATCCCAGGAAAGATACTTTACCTTGGAGCGCACACTTTACTTTAGCCTCAGGCCAGGTATAGGTACATTTCCGAAGCATCTTTTAAGCGCACAGCAGTGTCTGGGCAACCCTTTCAGGCCGAGCGGTATCCGTCCGAGATCTTGGCACAGAAAACCTCGGCGCCCAGGGCTCTCGGTGTCAACCTCCGTACAGAGGTCTGCACCGAAAGTCCTGCACCCGCACTAGTGCAGCCCTAACCCTACTTTCGGAAAGCGGCCCTGTAGAGGGGAAGCCTAAAAATATCTTCTCACAGCGCATGATGGGACTTAAGGTACCTACTTCTTTTAGCCTTGATAGAGGCAGTAAGCCCCGAAACCTGGCTAGGGCTAGGTGCGATTCCGAAGAACTCCAGACGCATTGTCCAGGTAACCCTTTAGGTGGGGCGTTATCCGAAGTCTGAGCGCAAGAGTCTTGGCGGGTGCAGGACTTTCGGTGCAGACCTCTGTAGCCTCGTCCAACACCAAGGCACGTCTGCAACAGCCCCGGACGGAACGCAAAGTACGTCTCGACCAACCCTACGCGATGTTAGCTGCGCAGCAGAAGGGTAGGTTTCCCGACTTTCTATCCACCCAGTAAGCCATCCGGCCGCGAACATTTTTCGCTGGTCAGGGGACAGGAAAGCGGCGCGAAAGCGTCACTTGCTGCGGTCGAAGCGACATGGAAAGAGATACGGAAGGACGTCTTCGTGCACAGTCGTTTTTCTTTTCATTACTCATATACCCTGACGGTTCTGCGCTGCTGTGCGTTCAAGAAGAGAATGATGCAGCAGATGACAGGAACGATCGGCGCCGTGGGAGCACCGTATCTGTTGATTCTCACTCGCCTCCCGTTTGCGAACCCTCTCGAGTTCTTGTGCCTCTTGCTCCCCATGTTGCATTTGCCTCTGTTGACTGTGATTGACATTCTTCCTTGTGAGACGCCGTTCCGTGCGATTCCGTAAGGGCTATGATGCCTTACTTCCCGGCGTTGGGCGGCGGCTGACGGATCTTGCGTCCTTGAACATGTCTACGATCGCCTGGAAATCTCTCTTCTTTTCAGTGGAATTGGCGAATCCTGAGACTGTACGACTCATCTTCCGTGCAGGAAATGGCCGTTTGCAGAGCTACTGCTGACTGTAGCCTTCGCGCTCTTCGATTGGACTGTAGCTTTTGAAAAGTGGATCTTTTTGCTGACCACTATCTATCTCCCTGCTATTTGATTGAAACTCCCGGACATCTGTATCTTTCATAACGTCTTCAATCCATTTCCCAACAATGACCCTCTTGGCAGACCATCTGAACCACCATCACATTTACCACGTCGAGTTGTTCCCTGAGGCGGAGTGTAGTTCTCGTAGTAAGCCGTACATTCCGTCGCCCACTTATTTGACTTATCCGAGTTCCTGCACATTCGGTCTCGGCCCACCAAATCAAATAGCAGAGAACTAGAGTCTACATACAAGGCAACGTGTTGTTTGGTAAGCTTCGACGGCGTAGATGATTTTTCTGGAGAGACGAGCGACTCGATTATCCTTCGCTACTGTGATGAGACTAGGACGCTGGAAGTCGCCTTGGGCATCACAATTATTACTGATGGGATGGTCCTTATCGTCGCTCTACCAACATTTAACAAGTTCCATATGTCCGCTTCACAGGAAGCGGCTTTATCCGGTTTCTTTCTCCTTGACTGATTGTAGGAACCTTAGACTTCTTAATACAATCTCTAGCCGCTATCCTAGTAAATCTTGGCCGCGTTTCATTTCTCAGTCTTGCCAGACGAACGAAATTCAGAAGGTACCGACACATCCTCTAGGTCCTTGGCGGCCGGCATTACGAGAATGGTAAACGTTGTGACCCACATGTATGGTAAGTCGTCACCGTACTGGATCTATCCACAAGAGCAGGCACTGCCGATATCTAGACTAGACACGACAACCGGCTACCGCAACGTGAAAGGTACATGTTCGCCTTTTGTTCTGGCGCATGCCGTGCTAACGATGAAAAGCCTCCTCAACAAATGTCGCCGTCTGGAGTCAGGTAGAAGCAAGTGCATTTGTGGCGGCCTATTTACCCACCATATGATCATTGTATGCATATTGACTCGATTCAACCGTCTGTTGAAACACACGTCACTGGAGCATGTGTGAGTTAACAAGGGTGGAGACTCATGCTCGGGAGGAGATATGGTAGATTCATCACTAGACCTGTGAAGAAGGTCAGGTTCAGCTAGCGATGGGATCAGGATTCCGAGACTACATGTCAGCATGATGGGCTCCAGCATAAGAATACCCTCTTCACTTCCCCCCCACATTCCTCCTTGTGAGACTTCAGTCATCGTCCCAAAGCCCATCTTAAGCACTGGTTCTACAAAAGGCTCCAATCTCTGTTATATCATCGGACTCTAATCAGGAAGAGATCTCAGAACCGAATTGGTCAACACCGTAACAAGGCAGCCAAGATGTGGCCTGGTGTGATCATGACATAGGTCCTAAGGTCACTAGTGACGTGAGTCCGCTGTGCCGTTGACGTCTTTTTTATAGTCTTTGAATAATAGCTCATGGCCATGTAGATTTCGGGACTTGCTCGAGAAGTAAAGCAAGGTAGATCACAACAATGTCTTGCAACACGCGAGAACCACAATACGTCCTTCGCAGAGTTGAGATATTCCCAGGTGCCACCAATAACCAAGACTAGCGTGATAAAGCCTGGGCTATCCCCTTTTACCGGTGCACCGGCCTAGGCTTTTTCCAGAATCCTATGATAACGAAGGTCCAGCTTACGAAAGCATGATCTGACAACTTCAACATGGCGAGTCTTTTCTCGACGTAGGGTACCCTTTAGGACAAGGCCTTTGGCGGATAGTGGTAGACAGATCTAGGGTAGGAGATGTTCCGCGACCGCGACAGGGTTTCAGCACATTTTATGGAGACTGACATAATTCGTCCCAATGCAGCACTACAGGCTCTAGAGGGCACTATTGATGTCATCCCCGTCATGGGGTTCTTCATCAGTGGGATCGGGACACGCAGGTGAGTGCAATGTAGCAGCTAATCAAGCTATCGAGGCCGGGCGCCGGCGCCATGATTGTTAGGTTTTAGCTCGGGATTGCAGGAGGTAGAGAGAGACCTCCAACAGATCTGTGAAAACCGCCACAATACTGGCATAGCCCGAGGTCGTACAACAAGATTTGGAATCAAGTTGGCAAGGGGACCGGGACAGAGTGGTCGAGCAAGGCGCAGCTGAAGGCTTGCGAGGAGGTAACGCGGAGTCCAAAGGATACTGCATTTTTGGAAGATGATGCAAAGGTCGTCCAATGAGTAGTCCGTCGAATCGATTGATATTGGAGGAACCGAATATTGGATCTCGTGCTTTAACTCACGGTACTGCTTCATGATCATGGTCGCTTCAAATGGCGCGTTCAGGTTCAGAGCAAAACAAAAAACTTTTCAGAAAATCTCAATGTTCTTTCTTACTTTCTGCTCACCTTTGCTTCATGGGAGATAATTAGGGCCAATCGATGGCGAGGAGGAAAAGCCGGCCTATCACACTGCCATGAGCCTGAGAGGTATCTGGTACTAGACTCCTGCGTGGAAAAGCCTTGTCCGGTCCGGTCTTGGCCTCCACGCTCCGAGACTCCCCGATTTTCGCTCCTTCAGAGGCATCAGTCGAAGATCCCGAAGGGAGCTGTGAACACAATGCGTAACTTCCTCCAGCATCCCTCACTTCTAATCTGGCTGTTGGCTAGAGGCTCCGTTGGTCAAGGCTCCCGAGGATAAATCTGGGTTGTGATAGGTTGATCCTCCTCCGCCCATGCGTTAGAACACATAGTATCCGCAAAGTAGGGCGTAGGAGCTGGAAGCATGCATGAGTGTGTAAAATTTGCACTATTCAAGCACAAAAACTCTTTCGCAAGGTCGATGGCTATGGAGGGCGCTGTACTGATGATGTGAGGATCGGAACTGCGCTGCGAAATGATTGATGAATTAGCCGAGAACGCAGCAGACCGTATCTGCACCATGCAGGTGGGAAGGTGATAGGTTTCCAGCGGCCAGACTTAGGGTTTGGTCTTGTCGTCACCAGACATATCACTATTCAGAAAGGAGTCCGTGGTTTCTGTAAATGTATATAACTTGTCATCCTGGTGGTCAGGAATGAATACAAATGGTGGGTGTTGATTGCCTGAGGTATTTGAAAGCGTATTTGGGTGAAAGGCAGCCTTTCGCGCCTCTTTACTTTCATACGTGTATAAAAGTGCAACAGTCTTGCATAAAAGATTCATCTCATCAGTTGATGTTCTCGGAGGGGGCTGTGCCTATTGATGCCTTTCGTTGCGAACTGGGGATAGTCGCGTGTAGCTGGAAGGAAGGGATCGATGCCATCCAACCATAAAAACTTTATTACCCTTGTTTTAGCTACGGCCCGAGACGCCCGTTGCATCTGCATAATGATTGGTCTGATAGGTTCATGATCGAAGATGGCCCTAGGGTACGAGTTGGCATCCCGAAGACAAGATAGGTCTGCTGAGAAAGCGATCCGGAAACCCCTATGCGTAGTCGACTTGGAGACGCCAAGTCCCGCAGAGCAAGCACAGAGCAAGCAAATGATGGACACATGCTAGAAGCGGCTAAAATCGATATGGTAGAGGTTTCGTCACAGACACGAGCAAGACCAGAATTCTCCGACGTTTTCGGAAAATCAAAGCAGAATGTAGACGTCTAGGCTAAGTATCACGTTTCGAACTGGGCATTTGGGGCACCAGGGGTCCTGCGCCGCTGGTAAGAATGAAAATATAAGAATGCCCAAATACTCAAGGGAAACGGCCGCCGAAGAAGAGTTGAAAGAGTATTATCATTACAAGATCAGTAAAGGAATCCCAAGAGGCCTCAGATCGTAAGATTTAGTGCATGGTGTTAACCACCTCTCCTCTTCCTTCGAGCGGTCTCTTCGGCGCTGGCGAACTTAGCGAATGCCTCCATGTGTATTGCTGAGAAGATGGAGGGCGTAAGAGCCTTCTCTAAGCCTAGCTGCCTAGACCAAACCCGCTTGATGATATCGAATCTCCGAGAAGTCCAGCGAACTACATCTTCTGGACAGGAAGCAAGGTGCCTACATCGTGCGCAAGTCCGCTGTTCAGTTCCTACAGACCAGAGACGCCACAGGGCCTTGTTGGTGGCGAATTTGCAAGAAGAGATGATATCCTCTGCATTGCTGAGGCTTTCTGATGGGCCCTAATTCTGCGCTTTCTGCGCCTTCAGGCTCTGCACCGACGCCCAAGCCTGCACAATCCCCGCCACCGACTGCACTACGCCAAAGAAGACGGTCATAATGAAGACCAACACGGCAACCCAAAAGGTGAACCACTGCGTCTTCTTCCGATCATCCCACCACAGCTGCGAAATGTTCCTAGGCTCCGCGTCATCAAACGTCCGCTTCAGCAGTACTAGACGCTCTCTCCAATACACAAACTTCTCGATCTGCCGCTCAGAGCTATTGAGTCGATGACACACGCCAGCTTGTGCATCGATCAGCCATTTCTTCCGCTGCTGCTGGAACCATGGGTTTGGTTTCCCCAGTACTGGTGGTATGAGAAGGGATATGGACCGGATTGTCTCGTCCACAAGAACCTTGGGCAAGAGAGTGGTTGGAGACTTCTTGTGAAGTTGCAAAATAGAGACTTGATGGAATAGCATAAGCTTAGTATCGTCGTCCTTGAGTAGAAGGTGGTCTGCGAGATTGCTTGTCCATTCCACTTTGATCCCACCAATTTGTTCCAAATGGGCGGCGGTGAAAGCCTGCGGTAATTTGACCAGATCAGTCGAATTGTAGCGATAAGAGAAGTTTTTGTTGATCAATCCTTCGTTCAGCTCGTGTTGTTCCTCCCCTAGTTTCTCGTTGTCCCCCCAAATTATTGGCTCGTCATACGAGATATCGCCTGGATACTTGCTAATCAAAAGCATCAGCCATAGACCAGCAGCTAAGTCGACCAAAGTCCTAGCTAGACTCTCGGAATGTGCAATGACTGGGTTCTGCATGACGGCGATTTCCTCTCGGGTCGAGCCGTGGTCCTTCAACAGCGCGATGATTTCAACCAAGTGCCAGTGCGTCACCCTCTCAATCTCCCTGTCCTTGTTGGCAGCTAGTTTGCACAGATAAGCATATCGAGTAAAGAAAGACTCATATGCATTATCTGTAGCTTGAATGGTCGACATGTGAAGTTCAAAAGGCTGGAGGTCAAACACATTGGAGAGAAAGTAGTACCGCGAGGACAGCGACTGAAGAGGTTGGGACAACAGACAGCATTGCAGAGCTGACTTGGCTTCGTCATATGCTTCCTTCTCTATGGTGTCTGCCATCACACGTTCGAGGAAACACTTGGTACTGTTCTTGAAGCCCTACCCCCTCGATGATTCAGTATTCTTCACGGCTGAGACGCATAATACAATCTGCCCTGTTAGGCTAGCTCATCTATCGCAGCTAAACGATGTGAGGGAGTCCTATTAGGAGTTGGTGAGACAGACTTTATTGCTGGGATTGACTAATAATAATTGCGGCGCGGAGCAAAACACAGCCCTGACCCCTCGGACAACCTCAGCGCACCACCCCAACTTAGAAACACCTCCCGTCGACGAGCTTGTACATAAGGTAGTGGAGATGTGAGCATCGTCCTATCCACATCCTCCTTAACCACCCCATCACCATGAAGCTCTTCATCTTCCTCCTCCTCCTCCTCGAGGCCCTCCCACTCGCGACAACCGCCCGTCCCGTCTTCCCTCCACAGAACCAACAAGCCGTCGCAATCTCACCGCCCCTGACCCCCCCATCCTCAGTAAACAGCTTCGACTCATCCAGCGACCTCGGATCCGGATCCGGATCCGACCGCGGCTCCAACAAGTTCTCCCTCTCCAACGCGCTCAAGAAAATAAGGCCGTCGTCGTCGTCCTCCTCCTCCTCCTCCGAATTCCGCTGCCACCGCTACCCGCAGAACAGCATCCTCGCCGAGCTCGCCGCCTACGTTACGGATCTCCTGCGCAGCTACCGCGAGAAGGTGGCTGGAGGAAAAGGGGACCACGAGCGTCCGCTGTTCGAGACGTGCTATGCGGGATACGAGAGTTCGGATGTGTCTCCTTCGATATACTTTGGGAATATGAAGGCGAAGCAGATGGGGGTGGTGGAGAAGTTGTTCAACAGTCAGCTCAAGTTGAAGTTTCCGGAGGTGAGGATAGTGAAGACGTCGAATGCCATTGCTGTTGTGATGGAGGATGGGCAGAAGATTAAGCGGAGGAATACTGTGTGAGCAGTGTTTGGTTGGGATATGTATGACGGTGATAACGGCGGCGGGCTTTGACTATTACAAAAACGCCTTCGGGGTTTCTTCTCCAGGAGATGGCTTCGGTCTACTTGTGTCGGACTCGTTCTTTGGACGAGATAGAGTGGTGAGCGTGCGTGAACTTTGATAGATGAGGCCTATACGCTGGGGAAAAGGGTTTTCGGAGCATCACTAAGCTCCATGTTTGTATATATTCGAGCTTCAAGCCGAATCATCTGCCGGTAGACAGGGGAGCTATAATACTGACAGAAAATAATATCCTTCAAAAGCTTTCCCTTCAAAGCTCATCATGACCATGCTCCTGCCTTACGGGTTGCCCTTTGGCTTCGAATCTGGCATTCATGCCCACGATGCACCTCACAATATCCCAATTTCCATCCTGTCCAACCCAGTCGCATACTACAATGCCAGTACTTCCATCTCCAACAGGCTTCTCCCCCGAGCCGTCCGATACATTGTGTTTCGTACACAGATAATCGACAATCGCAGGATTCAACTTTGCCGCAATCCTATCAGGCCAGCAGCCGACTTTCCAGAAATTACTTGCTGTGAGAAAGTTGATGTAAAACGGCAGCTTAGCGTCTGAGCCTGGTGAAGGGCAGACGCATTCTGATGCCCTTATCAGATGGTCAATGGAGTATTGAATCTTCTTTCCGATGTTCTCGCTCTCCAGAACCTCATAGAAATCTTGAATGCAGAGATCGCCACTGGGGCAGAGGGAATTCGGAGTGTTGTCTGCCCATGTATCGCCGTTGATGCACCAGCCAGCCCCACCCCATTCATTCTTCAGCCTCTCTTCGAGCGTGAATCGGCGAATCAGCACGATCTTGCCTCTTGCTTCGCCCAGAGTGGGAACGCGAGGAGCCGTGAACCAGCGGTTGACGTCTCCTGCGTAGTGGTCTCGCAAGATACGACTGAGCTGAGAATCGGTGGCGTTACCAGGACCTTCACGCTTGACGGACATTATGACCGTCTCGCTCGGATTTTGGGCTAAGAAAGCAAGGACTTCGTTCAACATAGTCCGAAAGTGCTTTGGGCCACTCAAGGAGATGGGGAAAACGCCATGAACCAGGTTGAGTTTATCATTGCTTGGGTCAAGAGGACCTTCAGGCTGAACGCGGATATCAAGAAAGCGCACTCCTTGTTGTAACTGTTCGCGGACTGGCGCTACTTGGCAGCGAACAGATGGCAGAGCGCGATGGTACGTAGGAGAGTTATGGGTGCCTGGGATAGAAAGAGCGGAAAGCGGCGTTTCACTCTCAAGGGTCTTCATCCAAGTGGGAAGATTGCTGCGATAAAAAATCGCGAGGTGATGATATTCGGGATGGTAGACAGTGGTATGGCTGAAGTGCGGATTGGTAGTTATTGGCATCAAGAGCTGGGAATGACATGTCGGATGGATTATGTTGGTCTGGTACATTTCTCCTTCGATCTCGAAAAACAAGCACAAGGTTTCATGAGGGATATTAGCAGGTCTGATATCCGCTTTGCGTAATGTGGAAGGCTCGAGGAGCAATGAGACATCCTGCAAATTGGTGACCGGTTGCTTAGCATTTACAGGTGTGCTCCACACGCTGGTGATCTTTGAAATGTACCCTCCACCGCCTAGCGTGTGTTTCAAGTCCTGTATCTCGTAGTGCTTGAGATTTATCGGGGTTGACGTGAGATTGCGAACCGTTAGGAGCGGGGATGCCATAGTTGAGAAGTATAGACGGAGACTTTGTAGGGCGATTTTTCAATTCAAAAATAGAGAGTCAATCCTGTCTTCTAAATTCTGGCTCTTCTTAATCACAAGGAAACACACGCAATCAAGGTAAGAGAACCGCGTTGAATAGACTGCTATTGAGAAAAAATTCTGCTGGAAATCGCCATAACAGATGCCGTGTGGTCAGAGTAGCTGGCAGAAACGAGACTTAATGATTTCGCTTCTCAAAGTATTGACGATACTGTTATTACAACTTTATGAGACAGACCAGAGCATGAACTCCTCAGGGGTAAGTATTTATTCATACCAAGCATTGCGTTAAGGACTAATCTAGCGCCAAACGGAAAGATTCCGCACCGACTTCGACTTGGACCACTCTTTCTCCAGCTCCATCCCCAGCGCCCACCTCTGGAAAAACTATTCGCAAACCTTTGAGCAAGACCCAGTACCCCAAACAATCCGTCACCATGTCTCGCGAAGCCTACGCTCCTCCTACCCTCCAGCCCGCAAGCTCCAACTTCAATACCACCAGCACAGACATCTTAGGATCCTCAACACAGTACCTCTGCGGCGAGTGCAACGCCAAAGTGCAGCTGAAGAAAGGAGACGCGATACGATGCAAGGAATGTGGACACAGGGTGCTGTACAAGGAGAGGACGAAAAGGTACGTTTGGCTCCTGCTCTGTTGATGGGCATGGAGCTTATGGTGGGCTGACGGGCTACGGTTTTCAGGATGGTGCAATTTGAGGCAAGGTGACACAGGGTCGCGAGGTAGGGAATGAGACACGACTTTGCTCGGCCAAGGGTTGAGGGATTCTTCACGGAATGCGGAATGATCTGGGGGATTGTCAAGACTGGGGCTCCTGACACGGCTCAGCGGAAAGAGCAAGGTGCTATTCGAGATATCAGATGGTGACATGATACCCTTCATATGCGTTCTGTCGAACAAGTTCCAGGATCGCTACATCAATACTGTCGGAAAAGAGACAGTTGAATGAATCTTCTTCCTGCCCACCTCGTGGGACTGGGAGCATTTCGCAGACTATCCACACTGAAGCCCGAAGAAGCCAAACTCGCTCACAAAATCCACTACCTGTTTTTTTCATTCTTCATGTCTACCTTACACTCAATAGAGCGCAGGTGCCCCCTTCACTAACTTATGCCTCGGCTCCCCTGTTCAGAACGACGATTGGATTAAAAAATGCGTCAGCAAAACAGAAGTCAAACCGAAGATATTCCCGTCCTTTTTATGATCAATCTCTGCTCTTCAAGTGCATTTTAATCCCGTCCACTAACACCACAGACACAAGTCCCATTTTCTGGGCTTGTGTTTCCATCCGGTTTCACGCAGCAAGGCTCATAAAACCAGCTGCTTGAGCAGCTAAATTTACGAGCATTGATATGTTATCAATGCAACAGAAAAGCGGCAAGAGAGGGCTTGTCAAGCTGTTTCTCAAGTTCTGGACGCGGTGGACGTACTAAACGCAGGTGTCGCAAAGATTGCTTGTAGAAACACCATTGCGTGAAGCTTCTAACATTCAAGAACCCGCTTTCGCTGCTGCCTTCCTTATCAGTGTCACCAATATCACCTTTCCCTGCCATTTCTGCCCTCACCTCCGCCTTGATCCTCATCTCCACCTTTTTCTCCACCTTCCTCTCCACCTTTCTCTCCGCCTTCAACCCCGTCTCCATCCCCATCTTCATCCCAATCTCCATCCACACCGTCATCTTCACCGTCATCATCTGCGCCTCCTCCACAGCGGCTTCCGATCTCTGCAGAGAAAATCGAGTCTAAAGAGCGTTTGAATTCCTTGCAAGCTAGATCCTCGTCACCGCGGTCTGGACTCCAAGCCAAGACTCCTTCCAAATTACGAGTCCGAACTACCCGCTTGGGTGTCAGTCTCGCGGGACCATTAGCATTGACACGTGCAGGTGCCGGTACGGATGCCAGTCGCGGTGTAATAGGAGCCGGTATTGGAGTGACGCGAGGCGCAGGAGTTGATGTTGGAGGTGTATCTGGAAGAGACGTGCAGAGGCCAAGATTTGGCATTGGGACAATTCCATCTGCGTTTAGATGCAGTCTTGTCGTAGGGAGTTGGAAGCAATTTGGGTACCGTCAGCATCTCCGTCATCGTTGTCATTGCCGCTGGTGCCGTCATCGCCGCCATCTCCGCTGCCTTCTTCGTCAGCTCCATTCTCCTCTTCACCCTCGCCATCTCCGCCGTAACGGCGGTAGAGAACTTCGTCGAAGATAGATGCAGCACCGAGGGCCCTTTTGCAGTGTCCGATAGCCACTACGTCATTCGGGGACCATGCAGAGATGCGTTCAAGATCATGTTGATTCGGATGCGTGATGATCTCAAAGTCAATCGATCCTGGTCCGAACTCAGCTTCTTGCGATTCGAAAGACACGTGTAGGTGAATGAAATTGAGGCTTGACTTACCAGCAATCGGTAGTGCAACGATGCTCACGATATGGAGTATGATGCCGACGGTATAAGACAAAATTTTCAACTGCATTCCGAGTTCATTCATTCAAAGGTTGTCAAATCTGGTTGAATGTCAAACTCGAGATACATGCTGCGAAGGTGGAAGCGTCTTTCATATGTCTTTTGTACCTGAAGTCTAGAATATTCCATTATCACTGTGCATGAGCACTCGTTCGAGAAATGCGTGCGAGGTCCTAATGTCACCGTCGGCAAGTCATGGCGCTGCGCGAGAGTCACATCGGATCGAGGAGAAGCCGCATTTGCTTCGACGGCGTATCTAGGAATAACCTCTCATCTACTGGAGCAATGTGGCGCCTCTGGGCAGATCTTTAGAGAAAGGTTCTGGTTAAGACGTGATCTTTGGTGTATTTCTGAGTTGTGCCCTTCCAGGGTTTAATGCTTTAAATTCACCATTGAATTCGCAGACTTGATGGCGATAGTCCTGACGTCGACGTTCCAGAATGTCGGACTTACAGGGTCTCAAAGCATTCAAGGAGAGTTCTGGACGGTGTAAAGGCGTAAGGAATTGGATCCTTACTTTTCACAGCTTACAGATATGGGATGTGCTTGACCAGGCCATTCTCCGACGCCACGCCAAGCATTCTTTCTGATGTACGAGAAGCATCACGTTCGTAGCTAAGTCTCGAACGGAGATGACCGAGGACGTAAGCGCAGCTTGAAATCGCACATGAGGAAAGCTTGATATGGCTAACTCGAGAAGAGTAACTGAGACTGAGCGTAGCTGAGATATTCTGTTCCGCATCTCTCACACACTTCGATATGAGAAGGGATACTCGCATATGAGGTGTGCTTCCTCGTGCACTCGTTGCTCATGAATCTCTGGCCACAAGAGTAAGATGAAGGCGGTCCACATAGCCTATGGCTCTAGGTCTCAAGCAGGACCAAAAATTTGAATCAATGATAAAATCTGTTCTATCGTGATCGAAACGTACTCCTCGTCACCAATCGAAAGAATGCCACTGAAGCATCGAAGGAACTGTTTTTGTACATTAGCTATTATGCGAAAGACAATCGTAAATTACTTGGCTTGTCTCCAACCCAGCTTGTTCGTGGCGTAGGTCCAGTTTCTGGGCGTTATCGGCGTTCTCCTGGCTCCGGAGAAGAGACATGTAAGATGATTCCTCTTCCTATCCACGTCGCGGAACCGGCAACATCTCGCAAAATCCGTCAGTGTTGAAACCCTAAGAAGCTAAACCCGCTCACGAAATCCACTGTCCAATTGACTGCCTCCACTCCATAGAACGCAGATCACCTCTGCACTACTCTGTTGCTCAACTCCCCAAACCTTCCTGCGGTGCCCATATATCATGCGAAAAGCAGCCTTCCTGGCCTCCTTGTCCTTTCTTTCTTCCTGCCTCTTGATCTCTTTGCCTTTGAATGTTCTGCAACGAGCTTTCTCCTCTAGGATCAAGCAGCTCAGACCGCAGCTTATCTGCGACCTGTAGCGTTTTGATGACAGTCCATCTCCCTGTAACAGATCCATCGTGGTAGTAATCAACGTATGGGCATCTGCATGGGTGACAAGGGCTCCATAGCATGATGTGTAGAACTGGCCTCTTTGAATTCCAGCATGTGGTATGATAGCAGATGGACAGTGACATGGGATGCCCGCACTCAAAATAGCATTGCAATCACCTTTGGACGCACACGTGGACAACATTTCTTGCGCAAAACTGATGGTAACGACATGGCTTCGCATGAGATCGATGTCTACCGTATTGCAGAATGATTGGCCATTTTTGTCATCTTTCCGTTGGCATGTTTGGCAAGATTAGTGCCAAAAGCGGTGTTCAGTTGTTTAGAATGCGAACGTTCATGAGCCAAGTCCCTGATTACACATCGGTAAGGACGTCCAATGAACCATAGTGGCCTGTCAAATGATGAGGCTTTAAAAGGACCTGCGAAGCGCCCTTTGATTAAATATTTCGTAAGGCTGAGACATCAGACTAAATTCCCCAGAGTACACCAAAAGCTCTTCATGCGTGATGCGATTCCCATTAAAGGCACAATACTTGACATTTTTCCCGCCAGGTCAGTCTCCATGGATCTCCGATGACTTAAAGCTTACGCTCAATAAAGGCCACAACCAAACCCGTCCACAATGCCCCCCCGACTCCGCATCTGCCCCCAGTGTTACCACCTCCTCAAACACCAACCCACATCATACAGATATCTCGCCACCGCCTCCGCCATAACCCCCGCAGCGCCACCTTTCCAAACAATCTCCTCCCCTCCACCAATCGCCCGCTTCCCCCGGACCCAACCACCGTCTCACAAGCCGCCCGAATTCCGCAAATCGCAACTCCACCGGCAATACACCTCCCTGCTACGCTCCACGCCCTTGCTCCTTTTGTTCCAACACAACAACCTCAAGGCTACAGAATGGATGTCCATACGCCGAGAGCTGCAATTTGCCCTCGAAAAAGTTGACAATGACCTCTCCACGAATCTCGCGCCCGCTATAAAAATCCAAACGATTCAAGTGGGTATTTTCGAATCAGCGTTGCTGGTTGCCGAGTATTTCGACCCAAAACAGCACCGTACCGCCTCGAAACCGCACCCAACGGACCCCTCGACCCAATCGTCCGTCAGCTTGGCGAATCATACACCGACTCCAGCAGACCCGACTTTTAGGCACTACCTCTCCCGCACCGCCCACGCCGCCGCCTCCCCCTACAAAGAATCCCACCCCCTCCGCCCTCTCCTCTCCGGTCCTCTCGCGGCCATGTCCTTCCCTACCGTAACGCCACAACACATGCGCGCGGCCCTCAGCATCCTTGCTCCAAAAGCGCCAACCTTCCCAGCACCCACACGGCGGGCGAATCCGGGCTATCATGACGCTACCGTGCAGCAAGGTCTGCAGAAGTTGATGCTGCTGGGGGCGAGGGTGGAGGGGAAGGTGTTTGATAATGAGGGGGCGAGGTGGGTGGGGGGGATTCAAGGGGGGATGGAGGGGTTGAGGGGGCAGTTGGTGAGGATATTGGGGGAGGTAGGGGCTGGGGTGACAGGTGCGTTGGAGGGGATGGGCAGGAGTTTGTGGGTGACTGTCGAGGCGAGGAGAAGCATGTTGGAGGAGGAGGAGAAGGGAACCTCAGGGGGGAGTAATGAGGGGTGAGTCTCAGAACATTCCCTACCATCTACTTATGTATAGCATCAGCATTGTATAAAATATCGCAGTTCACATGAGCAGAGAAGGAATTCGGAGAGTACGTTCCATTGCTCTAGTCTAGCGAACAAGGGAAAGGAGCATAGCATTGGGCTGTGGTCTGTCATTTGGGGTCGCAATCCAAACCGGTAGTCTACAGAGACATTCTGATCTCCCGAAGCGAAGGGAACACTGTCTGAGATATTGTCGGTCGTTCCACTCCTCATTCCTGTTCTTGCACAATCTGTGCCAAATCGTCCTTCAAAAGCTGCCGTACCATTCGCCCCGCAAGAAGCAGGAGAGCTACAACTGCCGTGTCTTGTGTTTGGACGAGATAGGAGAGGGTGATGGTGTTGGCGACGTTTATGAGATTTGTCATCTGTGGTTGGTGGTGCTCACTTTCGATTAGATCAGCGATGTCTCTCTCCTGATACCTTGACTCCCATCTCTAGACACTTGATGAGACGGACATGGACTGATCGAATGAGGACTATGACTTGCAATATGATTTGTCAGCAGCAAGAAGCACCTGAAAGTTGGATCAATTACGGCCCTGTCATCTAGATATATTGGGCTGGGAATATTTTGAGGAGTACGTATATACAAAGACAAGCCATGTAGTTACATACAGATGCAATCATGTTCTTGTAAGATCTCTTGTCCGAGACTCCGAGGCTCTTTTCTCAAGTCGCAGCGACCTCCTATTCGAGTCAATCCATTAGCTCGAAAACATGAAACTGCAACGCCTAACAATGCAATGCCTCCAACTCGGAAGGCGAGAGACCTTGACCCTGCTTTCAATCGTACGGTAATGGCCACATCCAGGACAAACTCCAGCGAACCCATAAATCGACATTTGGGTATCCTTCGTTCAAAATAAGTCCACCTAGTTCATACGTAAACCACACTAGGCATCCACCAACAAAGCTAAGCAAGTCCGAGTCCCATCAAAAATGTAGTAGCTGAGCCATTCCGGACGGTACGCTTCCCGTGGGTGAGATTCTCTCCTCGCTCATTCGCTTGAGTTTACGAGGGTCCTGGATCTCGTCGACCGTGGGAGGTATCTCGAGCTTTATCGGTATTTCGACTTTCTCAAGCTTGACGCTCTCAAGCGGTGAATCAGAAGGGCTCACAGGACCGTTATTGCGCGCTGATTGGGGTGATATGGGCATCATTGGAATCGCCGAATCATCGAAGGGCTCGTTGATGCTGGCAAGCAATCTTCTCGCTTTTTCTTGGTTCGTAGGTGATGGGCGAGGTTTCATTAACTTCGTCGTTTTCTCCTTACTAGGCGAACGAGGGGCATTTGAAGGCGGGGCTGGCTTTGCTGAATCGGCAAGAGGTTTGTGGGGTTTGGTGACTTTGAAGTTGATTTTCAAATTATCCGATGTCTTTGAGATCTTTGAGCTCGTGGTCTTGCCTATCGACGTGTTCTTGACACCGTTCTTCTTTCCTGCTCCTTTCGGACGACTCTCTGACTTTGAATTCTCTTTCGTATCCGAAAGCTTTAACGGGGGAATGGTGAAGGCTTTTGGAAGCTTTGTCGCTTTGGACATAGGACTTTCTCCTGGGGTCATCATGGCAGGTGTGGCCCCATCTTTGGGCGACACATCCCTCTTTGGAGTAACACTCCTCCTCTTTGCTGGTTTGACGAGCACTTTAATACCAGGATCCTTCTCCTTTGCCCTTTCTGCCTCGGATTCGGTACAGTCCTTGTAGTCGTTGCCTTCATCGTTCCACCGCCGCATGTTCACCCGTTGGGCAACCTTGTCGCAATCTCCCGCGACCACGAGATCCCAACAATCCTCAAACTCCTTGCCTATCGGTGGTGGACCGCGATTGATCCATATTGCAACTCCGTCTCTTCTATCCCTTACTATCCCACACATCTCCCGAACCATTCTCTTGACACCTGGAATCTCCATACTTGTGCCCACTACAATGACTGCATCAGGCCGCTTCAGAAGATCCGCCTTCACTACTGCTCCAATCGCCTCGTCGTCCGGGTTTGACTCATTGTATAAGACCATCCTCGGACGAAGTCTGCCAATGCCATGACTTCGTTTCCCGGCAACATCGGTGCGGATCTGATCGTTTTCTACACACTGAGTGCACAGTGGTGGTACTGGACCGCTGAATAAGGCGGCTTCGAAAGGGGAGAGCTTGTTGCATTTGGTGCACACCATCTTCTCCAAGCTTCCGTGCAACTGGATTGTCTGGGGCCATGGTCCTTTGTTTTCCAATGGAACCTTTGTGATCAGGGGTGGGAGCGAAGTGTCTATGCCATCGACGTTCTGCGTGTACAGGCGCATGAGCCGGCCTTCGCTTGCGAGGGTTGCGAGCATCTCATGAAATATGGTAGGCTTTGCGTCGCTGACGAGTTGCGACAGTGTGCGAACCATGTCATGGAAAGAGGATGTGGAGTCGTCCGTTTGATAGACTGAAGCGTCGAACAGATGCTTGCCGGAAGCTTTTAGCTTATTATCGCTCCTGAGAGTGTTGAAGAGGCCATTTGACGATCGAAAGTCGGGGACTGTAGTTTCGTTAGCAACCCGACATGCAGCTAGGAGTGGAGCGCAACACTCACCTCCAGCAGCAGTAGAAATTCCAGCCCCAGCAATCACGACGATTTTTCTCCTCTTCCGCAAAACCTTCAGTAATAGACCCAATTGAGAGCTCTGATCAGCCGCAGGTGATGGCGATTTCAGATCTAGATGAACGGTGGTCCTTGGCTTCGCCTCCACTGACTTTCTCTTCTTCGCCGGAGGTAGATTGTCTGATTCTCGAGGGCGCTTTCGCAATTCATCCTGACCACTGGAGATATTTTCGCCATTCTCTTGAGTTGACTGTGGAGATGGGTAATCGAGAGGTGGAGGCGACACAGATCTGACGGAGCTGAGCTCTGAGGACAGGTCGCTCAAGCCGCTGTCGCTGTCCATGATGTGAGATTGCGGTCGGTTGGTCGTTGCGATCAGGGTCTTTTCGTTTGGAACATGATCGAAAGAAAATGATAGGTTAGAAGGTGGGCTAAGGAAGAAGACGTATAATGTCCTAGGAACCGTCTGGAAGTATCTGCGCAGGGAAGTCAAGAAGAATCAGAGCGATGTTGTGAATGGTGTGAAGGATCCCCAGCGATGATCGCGCCGCTTACTCAATTTTAGCCGCAAATGCCCCTCCCACAATAGCCTTTTGTTTACACCTTTGTTTACCTCAATCATTCACCCTCAAAAAAGATTGTCATCTTTAAAAGAAGTCTCACAGGAGACAATGATAGACGATTTAGCTTCAATAATTCCTCAATGAAGAATAGTTGGGGCACATATTGGACTTCAACGAATACCCTCTGCCCGCATGCTTTTATCTGTCCTATTCATAATTCATATAGCAGGCGCAGTCAATAGGCTGGATACACGGTGAATCCGTGCGCAATCTCCAAGTTCTACCACGGCGCGGTCAACAGGTAACTGGGTTAGTCCTAAATAATCTTTCCTTGCTGGCGGGGATTGCGGCAATTTTGATCCATCAATGGAGCTTGTACTACGCTTTTCATCCAAGTCATCCAATCCAATTGTACCTTGGACTTTGATGATCACGTCTCAGCAATTTGGTTATGGAGGATGATCTTGATGATCTCTTTGGAGACGTTGGAGATGTGGGAGATGTGGGAGATGTGGGAGACGTGGGAGATGGTCACTCATTGCACCTTCCTGAACCTCTCCCCAAGAGCTTGCTTCAGCGAGTGGATGAATTAGCTCTCAGCGGATGCTGCCAGTACGTCGCGAACCTCCAGCGCTTTGCTTCAACATCTCTAAAAATTAGCTAGAAAATTGGTTTGGTCTAGAAATGGCTGCATTGCATACATCACTCACGACGGGTGCAATGTGGTTGTTCGTAACCTGATGTGTGATTCTTCTGATGGCCAATGGAGGATGAGCAAAGAACATCTGGTAGACGGTGTCGCTACTGCACACCAACTAGTCCATCTGTCCTGGAGTCATCATGGTAACGAGTTAGCAATTGTTGACGCTTTCGGCCAGATATCGATCTACAGCGTGTTCATTGCTATCAATCGCCTTAGTCTCTGGAGGCGCAGTGTCCTCGACCCAGAAGACCATCTAAGTGCTGTGGTTGGATTGACATGGCTACACCTAGACAGACCAGTATGCTTGCCGTCTGATTGCAATGTTAATGCTATGAGCCCGGTTGACAGCGGTGCAGTCATATTTCCCTAAGCCCATGCTCAAAGCCAAAGACCAGTGGAACTTCACGGTATCTCAACAAAGATTGCTGGGACCCCGGAACCCTTACCAACAAACTAATAGCCCACAGAAGGCTGCTTTGCTCGCAGTCACAAGGGGTGGATTGATCAGAGTGTTGTATCAAGGTCAGGATAATCGATGGCAAGACTTCAAAGGCGAGTCAGAGAACATTGCTAGTCCATCCGAGCTTCTGACCCACGCCACAATGTGTCCGGAAAAGATTGCAGATAACAAGAGCCCAGATAAAGGTGACGGTTGCCTCCCAAGCTGTGAGACAGTCGCTGACCGACATAACAAGAAAGTCCCCTGCTTCTGGCAACGTACAATAGCGAAAAGGAACTCCGGTTATATCGACTCAGCCTGGATTTTGAGCACCAAAGCATAGGCCTACAGCATCTCAAAGTCTTGAACCACTGTGCTCCACTTGATGAGAATCTGGACGGTGCCTCAGCACAGTATGATGGTGTGCAATCACGCAGTCAACTGTCGCTCCTTGAATTTCTACCTCCGGGGCCGAGATCTGCCAGTAAAGAACCAACGCATCCGGTCCTCCTGGCTTCGTTTTCTTACGTCTCTGATCATTTCCAACACACTCGAACTCATGCGGTACAGGCTACAATACTTTGCAAGTGGGAGTTGCAAATTGCAACGCCAAAGTTACATACCAGCTTCAATTCATTGTCTTCGAAGAAGACCAGCGCGTCATCGGTTGCGGAGCTTCCTGTAAGTCGTATCGCTCAAGGCTTGGTTTTGGACTGTACCTAATGAGTCAATTCAAGTCTGAGATACTCATGAAGAGATCGAATGACATCTTACTCCCTAGAGCCCTACTCTCCATCCAGCATATGACGTTGAGGCCCGTTCTGGCCATGATGTATTGTGAGGGTTTAGTCGAATATCGAGAGACTACAAACATGAACGTGATCCCTCGAGATGGAAAAGACCAAATCTCGAGTATGGCCCAGATTGGTCTCTATTTGCCAGGGAGTAGATTCTGTAAGTTGCGCATTGAAACAATTCACACCCCGGACGCTGGGTGACCCAATCATGGGGACGACTTCTCATGATATATAGGCTTGCACACTGCCTTATCTCCTAACGCTTGTGCTGCTATTTCTCTCGACGAGCTGCACTTGGCATCTTTGAGCTCTATGCAGTTCGAGGACGAGCATACAAGCGACCAAATAGATGAAGGTTTGTATGCACCGCAACGACCTCTTGTGCCTGCTGACATACACAGCGCGACTCGAATTGATCGTCGAAGCCTTCGTAATGCAGTCATCGGTTGCTTCTCTCAATAACTTGAACAACGAGGACATTGTCGCGGCACTGCAAGCTTTTTCGAACCAATACTTGCACGACCAGGCACAAGCACAGGCAGGGCATCCTCCGACACTATTCAATCCCAATACATTCAAGTTGCACTTCTTGAGCGAGCTATATCGGACGATCGGTGTCCAGGTCGACTATTCCATCGATCCGCAGATGCAACAATTGCTCCAGTCAAATCAAGGCTTAACCCTTCAGCGATGTCTGAGTGTCCAAGCGGCACTTGGTTATGCTGGAGGGAGTCATCGGCCATCACCCTCGGCCATTTTGGCTTGGACATTTTTGAATATAAGATCCGTTGTTATGGTGTTCATGGGGACCATTAGTAGAAAGCAGGGTGTAGAGAACGAACTTGGCAAGCCAGGTACGCCGAAGAATCCCAAAGAAATTGCAGAGAGAAGACTAACTCCGGATCAGAGACTGTCCATGTACTGATCGGCTTAGTATCATGGTCAATGACCCTGATCAGCTACATCGTCGACGATATCTTCGTACTCGGAGACTTCCTTGAAGACCACAACGATGGAGCAGAAAACATGAGTCTTGATGTCCTCAACGCAAGGAGTGAGCTACCCCCAAAAGCATCAGTATGTTCAAGACCCAACTGAATACCGTCTAGTCCGTGAAACCAACAGCCCAGCCCTGCTGCTCCTCCTTGTCTCCTCATGCCGCAGCTTCCTCAAATACAACTGCAACCCCTTGAAAGCCTTCATGCAAGCCTGCAAAACGCAGCAATCGCAGACACCCTTGAGACTAGCCTATCAGGAGCTCGGAACCGTATTCCAGAGATCTCTGGTGTCGGTATCGCAATTCGAGCGTATTCTATCACAATTAGAAAATAGCATCAGGAGTGCCTATCAGGCATCCGGGATGAACGAGAATGAACGGAGTAACATCGAGAAGAACATGCTTATCAAAGCTGAAGTCCCCGAAGTACTACTGGGACCTGTGAAAGATCTTCTAACCAACACAGCAGCTTCACTGAAAGAGGAAGTGAACGTCGCGGAACTCTACTTCGCCAACGTCGCCTCTTTGGGGCTCACGAACGACAACACAAGTAAGAGATGGAGGAAGGAGCATCCGCTGGATGCTTTGCGTAAGATTGAGTTGAGGAATGTGAGCACGAGAAGATGCACTAGGTGTGCTGCTGTAATGGAAGATTTGCTGCCGACCAGGACGGCGAGTGTGATGGTCTCGCAAATGAAGCATTGCTATTGCGGGAGCTGGTGGATGGTTGGGGGAGAGGAGGAGGGGAATGGGGAGGGATACTGAGAGTGGCTGGGAGGGGTTTGTGGTGCTTTGACGTTCAGGTGGGTTTGGGTTCACGGGTTTGAGGATGTTTGGGGATACAGTCTGGATTTTTTGCACTGCTCGCTTTGGATATCTTGCGTTTTGTGTCATTCTCTGCCTGAAGGCCCCTATCGTTGTTGGATCTATCCAGATATCTGGCCCATAATGTTACATTTCATTCAATTACGGAAGCTTTGCAAAGACTTGAGTGAAGAGCGAAGACCACAATGTAGCAGGGATATCAATGGCCTGAGTCCAAGGAAACGTGCATGGTCGAGATACTTTATACATTTGAACCTCCGATTTCTACGTCATGTGCCCTTCTTGATTCTCTCCACTGTGTCACTGCCTATCTCTATGCCCAGTTGACAAAAATCACCTGTATCCCTCCCCTCATTCATCAAAACTGTACCTCATCCACTCCCCCACAGCCCTCAAACTCTCCCACCGAACAGTCTCGTCCTTGTCCGTCATCAATTCCATCACCCGGCCCTTGATGCCCAACTTCTCCAACCCCTGCCTCTTTTCCGGGGCTTCTTTTACCAGCCAGCCCACATCGTTGCACGCAATAGCCAGAACCTGCTTCTCATCGTCCCAACTCTTCCCCATGATCTCCGCTAGCACCTTCGGCAGCGCGCCTCCATCATCGTCCAAGATCTTTCTCGCATTCTCATGCCAGAAATTGGCGTCTCGATGGGGTGGGCTCCAGCGTAGTTTCCTTGTAGATAGTTCCGCGGCGTATTCGTCGAAGGTGGTTTGAGAACTTGTGTATTCCTCCAGCATTTCTGTGAGGGCTTTCAGGTCGTCGAGGAGGTCAGGGTCGGTCAGATGGCGACCTTTGAGGTTGGAGAGGAGGGCAGGAAGGCGGGCGGTTGTGGCGATGGGAAGGAGGGTGGACTTATTGGTGGGAGCGGAGAATAGGTTGAACAGGGTGGAGAGGAGGATGCGTGTGGTTTTCTCTTTGGGTGAGAGGCGGAGGAGTTGGGTGTAGAGGGGTATAAGCTCTTGTTCCTTTTCGAGGCCTTTACCTACTAAGGAGGCTTCGAAGCTTAGCTGCCAGATTGTGAGGAGGATGTGGTAGAGGAGTTGGAGGCCGACGCCACTACTGATACCGGCTTCCGTGGCACTGCGGATGCTGCTGCCTCCGCTGAGTAGTGTGGAGTCACTGTCTTTGCTTGCGCCAGCTGCTGCTCGCAAGATGTCGAGGAGAGGGGTGACGGTCTCTTCACGTTGACTCCAGAATATCTCGCGTGCTTTCTTCGATCTTAGGAGAGAGGAGTATTCCTGTACGGCAATGTCTTGTAAGCCACTGTCCTGGCTTATCGTCAAGGTGGAAAGGTATTTGTAAAGCTTTGTGAGCGCTTCGTCTGTCTTCGGATTGGACTTTGGCAATTGTGTCTGAGCTGTCGAGAGAATACTGGTCAGGACAGATGAAGCTAGTAATGGAATTGGGTCTTCTGGATTGGTGGAGTGAGAGAGATAAGGCACAATGGGTTTGTATGGTTCTGGGTGCTCGAGGAGCTTGGAGGCAAGACTGGGGGCATCTGAAGGTCAACTGTCAGCACCCAGGAACAGATTTCGTATATGTGGATCTAGAAGCCATACCATTAATGAGATCCCCTGTCAATACTAACATATACTGGATAACATCTGCTCGTTTTGAGGCAGATTCCAGTACACTTGTGCCTTTGTCTCCACCCAGTATGAGAGATTGGTAGGAATCCATATCATTCTCGACCGTCTGTTTTCTCTGCTCCTTGCGCACCTTGTCTACAGCTTTGATTATCTTGAGGTCATTGTCGGTAATGGTGCCTGCTCGTACGGCTCCCTCCCATGGTATTGGTCTTGCACGGATGTTGTTTTGTAAGGAGCTTAAATAAGTCGGGGGATCGAGTGACATGGTGCGCCAAGCTTCCGTAGATGGTACCAGAGATGGTGGTTAGACGAATAAAAAAATTTAATCAACTGACGAGTGACTTCAGCTTGGAGAGGTGTTATTGATCCCAGGCACAAGTGCACGGTGGCACCTTATCAATAATCCCTGCACTCTAGGGTTCTAGGGCTGGCTTGCAGCTTCTTCGGCGGCGCTTGCCTTTTCTGTCCGCCGCGGAAACTCCAGCACCATCAACATCTGAGAATTAGCCATGCAAGAGAGACTGGAAGACTTTATGACTTGAATGACAGTGGCCATTCGAGAGACTGTTTAGAGAAATCTTGTGCACGATTCTAGAAGGTAAACATATCAGAAAGTCGAATCGCAGCTATGACGAGTCTCAAACGGTCACTGGCTGATCCATATGCCTCGAACATCTCAAGCAAAGTATTTGTGAGATCAACTAAGAGTGGAAAGGTGCAGAAGATAGTCAGAGAGTTGTATCTCAGACGAGACATTCCATGTTCGTCGAGACTCTGCTCGGCGTGCTTGGCAAATGCCCCAGCGGACGCAAATGGAGTCGGTATGTCGAATGCATAGGGCACGCCTTTCAATAAATTGAGTCGTTTACTGACATTACAACAGTTGCCCCGTTTGTTCTGTCGGAGAAGCCAGCAGGTACAAAGAATTTTTCCGCTGGTCACTACCTAGTACCGGATACAAATGCATTACTCAATGGCATGGACTTGTTCGAAGAGACTTCCGGTTTTCACGATGTCATCATCCTTCAGACAGTGCTGGAGGAGCTGAGAAATCGCTCTCTCCCACTGTACAACCGTATCATTGGCTTGACTAAAAGTGAAGATAAACATTTCTACGTCTTTTTCAACGACTTCCGGCAGGAGACCTATGTTGTCAGAGAGCAGGGTGAGACCATCAATGACCGTAATGACAGGGCTGTCCGACGAGCAGTCAGTTGGTATGGACAACATTTGCATCAGTCTGTCAGATCCAGCAAGCGGCCCATCCAGTGCCCAGCTATCGTTATGCTCAGTGATGATAAAGAGAATATTCGAAAGGCTAAAGCAGAGAAGCTTAGCGCCTGCTCTTTGGCCGAGTACGTATCTGGTCTTGACGATGCTGAACGTCTTCTTGACATGATGAATGCTTCTCGCCAAGGCCAAGAGTCAAGAAGCACAGCAGCTGAACAGCTTTATCCTGACTACTTCTCGTTATCTAAAATGATGACTGGTGTCCGAGCCAGCACATTGCATCAGGGCATCTTCAATGTCTCTCCATACAATTATCTCGAGGGTTCTGTACACGTCCCGGCCTTTGACAAGTCTCTGCTTATACTAGGTCGAGAAAACAGCAACAGAGCTGTGTCAGGGGATGTTGTTGTGGTAGAGGTTTTGCCAAAGTCCCAATGGAAAGCACCATCCACCAAGATCATCGAGGAAGACACTTTAAACAAGAACGAAAATGCGGATGTCGATGAAGCTGAAGGAGAGGCTGTTGTGACTGAGCAAGAACGCAAGGCGTTGCAAGAAGAAGTCAAAAAGACACAGGGAAAGAGCATCGAAGGTCGACCACAGCCTACAGCTAGAGTGGTTGGCGTGATCAAACGAAATTGGCGCCAATATGTGGGACATGTTGACAGCAGCTCAAGTTCGGCCGCAAAGCAAGGCCGAAAGCAGCAGACCGTGTTCTTGATACCGATGGACAAACGGATACCTAAGATTAGACTACGTACCCGTCAAGCAGACGAACTGTTAGGCAAGCGAGTTCTAGTGACTATCGATGCATGGGACCAGAGCTCACGATATCCTGAGGGCCATTTTGTAAGGTCACTTGGTGACCTTGAAACCAAAGGAGCAGAGACCGAGGCATTGTTGCTAGAGTATGACGTGCAATACAGGCCTTTTCCGAAAGGAGTCTTAGATTGTTTACCTTCCGAAGGTCACGAATGGAAGGTGCCGGCAAGCACGGAGGATCCAGGTTGGCAGGGCAGAAAAGATCTACGTGATCTTTTGGTTTGCAGTATCGACCCCGTGGGTTGTCAAGATATCGATGATGCGCTCCACGCGAGGCCGCTGCCGAATGGCAATTACGAAGTTGGAGTTCATATCGCAGATGTGTCGCATTTTGTCAAGCCAAACAACGCAATGGATGCAGAGGCCAGCATACGAGGAACAACAGTGTATCTAGTTGACAAACGCATTGACATGTTACCCATGCTCCTAGGTACCGATCTGTGCTCCCTGAAACCATACATCGAGCGTTATGCGTTCTCCGTTATCTGGGAAATCACAAAGAATGCAGAGATCGTCAGCTCTTCCTTCACCAAATCCGTCATTAGGTCCAGGGAGGCTTTCAGCTACGAGCAAGCGCAAATGCGAATCGACGACAAGGCGCAGAAAGATGAACTAACCCAGGGTATGAGGACCCTTCTCAAGCTTTCGAAGAAGCTACGTCAGAAGCGCATGGATGCAGGAGCCTTGAATCTTGCGAGTCCAGAAGTGCGTGTGCAAACGGAATCTGAGACATCGGATCCGGTAGATGTGAAGACTAAGGAGTTGCTAGACACGACTTCGCTCGTGGAAGAGTTCATGCTCCTCGCTAACATCAGCGTGGCCGGGAAGATATACGAAGCATTCCCACAAACTGCCTTGCTTCGAAGGCATGCTGCTCCGCCCAAAAGCAACTTTGAGGAGCTCGCGAACCAGCTGAAAGTCAAGCGTGGATTCAACCTTCGCACAGAAAGCTCCAAAGCAGTTGCGGATTCATTGGACTCCTGCGTCGACGCGAAGGAGCCTTTCTTCAACACGCTAGTTCGCATCCTGGCCACACGGTGCATGATGTCTGCGGAATACTTCTGCTCAGGGAGCCAGTCGTACCTCGACTTCCGCCATTACGGCTTAGCAAGCGAGATCTATACTCACTTCACCAGTCCCATCAGACGATACGCTGATCTCGAAGCCCACAGGCAATTGGCTGCGGCTATCGAATACGAGACCCTGGACATCAGCCTGCACAGCAAACCAAAGCTGGAAGAAGTGTGCAAAAACATTAACGTGAGAAATCGAAACGCCCAGATGGCCGGCAGAGC